ATAATCAGATATGCGTGGACTTCTTGGTGTGTTATAACTGAAATAAACAACACTACTTATGAAATTTTCTTCATAAAAACGTTCAGTTTATATCTAACCAAGTCTTCACATCTAATTTCCAGCTTACAGAAATACCAGGGTTAAAAGGAGGAATCAGAGAAATCCAGCAGGTGGAACTGGCCTGGTATCTTCAGCAAGTCAGCATCCTGATAAAAGGAACTCTTCTAGATCAAAAGCGACTTAAGCAACATAGCAACCAGATGCATCGAATGGTTCTGAGTTGGATCTTAATTTGGACAAATCAGCTGAAAATGACATCTCAGAGACAGTTGGGGAATGTGACTATGTACCTGGTATCACTGTTAATTTTGTTAGGTGCGAAAATGTTACTTTTGATATGCAGAAAACTGTGGGTCTTTTTTTTTTTTTTAAGAGATATATACTGATGTACTTAGTGGTGGAAGGTTACAATATTCATAATTTACTTTAAAATACTACAGAATTAAAATAAAAAAAGTTGACAGGAAAAGAAATAAGACAATATATGCAAAATGTCATCTACATAATGCTCCATGTTACAATATGTAGTAACAAGTGGTTGGAATGTTAAAAGACATGAAGGGTGCTATAGGAAAAGAATATAATAGAGGATATTACCTAGATGGGCATAGCAGGAGGTCAGATTTTCTCTCTGAAGAATGCTTTCTGGAGGAAGTAAAGTGGATGTCAAGACCTGAAAAAGATAGTATGGCAGATAAGATGGCCCCCAGCGATCCCTGCCTACTGGTTTTCAACTCTTGGGTAATCTCCCCTTGAGTGTGAGCTGGACTGACTTACTGACCTGGTTCTGATGAACAGGATATGTGTAGAAGTGATGAAATTTCACTGCCAACATTGGGCTACTAAAGTCTGTGGCTTCTGTTTTGGGCATTCTCTTTTTCTCTCTCTCCCCCTCCTTCCCTCTTTCCATTTCTCTTTCTCTCTCCCTTTCCTTCTCTCTTTCTTAGATTGCTTATGCTAGGAGAGGCAAACTGCCACATTGTCATCAGCCCCATGGAAAGACCCATGGGTGTATCCTCAGTTGTTAAGAACCTGCAAGGAAGTAACACATGCCAACAACCAGATGAGAGCGTTTAGAAGCAGATCGTTAAACTTCAGGTGAGTCTTCCATCTTGGCTGCCAGCCTGACTGCCATCTGACAAGAGACTTAGAGCCAGGGGCTGCGCCTGGACTCCTGACCCAAGGAAACTTGTGAAATAATAAATTTTGTTGCCTTAAGCTGTTAAATTGTGGGGCAATGTGTTCTACCCAGAAATAGATAACATACAGATAAGGAGTTACCTGAGTGAAAAAAGGCACAAGTAAGCTGCTATGATGATTTTCTGCTCTGATCCTTATGTTGATTTAGTGTGATGTTTACTATTCAGAGACTAATATTGTTCTAGTATCTTGGCTGAGAGCTCAATGTTTTCACATGTACGGGTGACAAAGCTGAAGACTGTCTTGATCTTAAACATTTCGGTGAAGCATTAGCTAGCAAAATGCCCTAGAGCAACTCGGTTAACAAATTTTATTGAGGCTTGTCAATTGTTGCCTAGGCCATGGCAAATGGTTATTTATAAAACCTCACAGCAACTATTTCTTTTTCACATAAAGAAGCTGAAGCCGTGGGAAGTCAAGTAATTTGCCCAGGATTACACAGCCAGTAGTCAGTAGAGCCAGTATGAGAACCCTGTTCTCATTTACTCAAAAACCTGTTAGCAACTGCTGTCCATCTGGCCTCTTAGGTAGTCAGCAAGTGTATCTCCATTTCTGACTTCTCTTTCAGTGTTTCAAAGACAAGTATTTCCAGGAAGGAACAATATAGCTGCACAGCACAGTGGATAGTATTGCTTTATAGGTAAATGAACACTCTACTAGGACTTGGGGATTCAGTGAAGAAAATAGAGTCCTTTCAAAGTATTTCAGTCTAGAGGAAAGAGGAAGAAATGATATATTAGCTATGCTATCTTTGTGGTTTGGGTGAGATGTGGGATATAGAAGTACCCAATTGGTTTTGGTGTAACATAAATCTGTGCTTGAATCCTCGCTTCACTTCTTATTAGCTGTGTGCATGTCACTTCGAGCCAGTTATGTGCTCCCTCAGTTTTTCCATATGTAAAATGGTGACAGAAGCTCTGCCTTGCAGGGCTGTTGAGGAGATTAAAGACAGTGCATGCAAAGTACCCACCATAGGTTTAAGATGGTGCTTAAAAATGGTAGTTATTAAAAAGAAAAGCCTGATTCTGCATTGGAACCATTTTTCAAGATCACTTCTAAAGAAGTTTTAGCTTCATAGCTAAAACTTAAAGCCTTGATACTAATTAGTCTTAAACAAACACCGTCTCTTTACCTCATTTTGATATAGTAAGTTTTAGGGTCCATAATTCAATTGCTGCCAATTGGGCAAAGGTGGTATCTGTTTTTCTGTTCTGTGTAGATAGGCACAGTTTTAGTATCCTGGCTCATCAAGCTTTGAATATTGAAATGTGCATTTGGTCTGCAAAGATCAGATATTTGCAGTATGATTTTTGTAACTATTGAGTGCAAAATAACTGAATTTCAAGCTCAAGTTTATGTGAATAAGTTGTGGCAATGAAAAAATGAAATGAGGGATCCCTGGGTGGCGCAGCGGTTTGGCGCCTGCCTTTGGCCCAGGGCGCGATCCTGGAGACCCGGGATCGAATCCCACATCGGGCTCCCGGTGCATGGAGCCTGCTTCTCCCTCTGCCTGTGTCTCTGCCTCTCTCTCTCTTTCTGTGTGACTATCATAAGTAAATTAAAAAAAAAAAAAAAAGAGAGACCTAACCTCTCACTCTTAGACTCCAGTTTGTTTGAATGTCACATATGTAGTGAAGTTTATTTATTTTTAAAGATTTATTTATTTATTTATTCATGATAAGACAGAGAGAGAGAGAGAGAGCGAGCACGCCAGAGACACAGGCAGAGGGAGAAGCAGGCTCCATGCTGGGAGCCCGACATGGGACTCAATCCCAGGACTCCAGGATCGCGCCCTGGGCCAAAGGCAGGTGCTAAACCGCTGAGCCACCCAGGGATCCCCCTGTAGTGAAATTTAAACCATTCTTTCTTTCACCAACTGATCACCTCAAAACTCTGTTCAGCCCTGATTACACTTTATCACAATTGATTTTGAATATTTTAGTGGGGTTCAGTATAGCAAGTGTTTACTGCAATGTAATTCACATAAAATAAACTTTATCCTTAAAACTGTACAGTTCAGGGCAGCCTGGGTGGCTCAGCAGTTTAGTGCCGCCTTCGGCCCAGGGCATGATGATCCCGGAGACCTGGATGGAGTCCTACATCGGGCTTCCTGCAGGGAGCCTGCTTCTCCCTCTGCCTGTGTCTCTGCCTCTCTGTCTGTCATGAATAAATAAATAAATAAAAATCTTTAAAAAAAAACCCTCTACAGTTCAACGCATTTTAGTATATTACCAAATTGTGCAATACTCATCATCACTATCTAATTCCAGAACATATTCATCATCCAAAAAGTAATCCCATACCAATTGGCAGTCACTCCCTTCACCCCCTGGAAGCCACTAATCTACTTTGTCTGTTTGGATTTGTCTATCCCAGGCAGTTAATATAAAGGGAATCATACAATATGTAGCTTTTTCTGTTTTTCTTTTCTTTTTTCCCCCCACTTAGCAAAATGTTTTCATGGTTCATCTACGTTGTAGCATGTATCAGTACTTCCTTTCCATGACTAATATTCCTTTGTATGGATAGAGCACTTTTTTTTCTTTTTAAATCCACTCATTACTTGATTGGACATTTGGGTGACTTCACTTTTTGGCTATTATGGATAATGCTGCTATAAACACTTAGCACATGTTTTTGTGTGCGTGTCACGTTTTCCATTTTTCTTGGATACGGTCCTTAAGGACGGGGCTTTGCGGCCACACTGCTTTGGGTCTAAGGTCACGCTCTGCCACTTACTAGTTCTGCGAAGTTTCGCGACTTGTCTGCACCTCCGTTTCACTCAGCGGCTGTGGCTCTTCCCGGTTCCCGCCTGCCTGCGTTCGCAGACGTCGGGGAGCGTGTCAAGTCCCTAGGACCGTGCCTGCTGCATGCGGTTAGGTCTGAGTAAAAAGGATCCATTATTTAAAAAAAAAAAAAAAAAAGATCTGTTATCATTTAAATATTTTGATGGGTTTGAAACTCTTTGGTTAGGGTTCATCTGCCTTACGCCTACGAAACCCGGGCCTAAAGATTCATCTTTCAGGTTTTCCCCACCTTTAACAAAAAGAGGAATGAACAGAATTGCCTCTGGGAATCAGGGTGCGCGGATTTCGGACAAGCGTCCCTCGAGGTTGAAGGGCGGATGCTCTGTAGGGTGCAAAGCGAGCAGAGGCTTGCGGTCGCCGCGACCTGCTGACCCCGCCCGCCGGCCGTGCCGCTCGCGAGGACGCGCTTCCGAGCTCGCCGTCTAGCGCCGACCGCGCGGGCCTCAGCGCCCGACTCGGAAAAGCCGGGAGACGCCTCTTGCCACAGCCGCGCCGTGATTGGTGTGGGCGCGGCCCGGGTCGGGTTTTGATTGGCTCTCGCCACGGATCCGCGGGGCCAGTATTGCTAGGAGGGGGCCAACATGGCTTCATAGCTGGCTTTCCTGGAAGCCGGCAGACACGTGGCTACCGCAGCCCGGCGGTCCGCGGGAGGACCCCGTCCTGCTTGCCGCGAGAGGGCGCCGGCGGTTCCTCGTCGCGCCCGTCTCATTTCCCATAAAGCCTCCGAGTGACCAATCACCTGGCTGTCTCGATACCGCTTTCAAAGTCGGCGGGCCCGTCCGCCAATCGTAAGGCGGGTACCGCCCTCAGCCCGAGGATTGATGGAAAGCTGCACCAATCAGCTCGCGGATCTCTGCGCTCTCCGCCTCGCTCGCACGGGATTGACGACGCGTCCGGCCAATAGGGGACGCTCAGTCGGCGGGTGGATGAACGCGGCCCTCTGTAATGGCGGAGCGTGGCGGGGACGGGGGGGACGGTGAGCGATTCAACCCGGGGGAGCTCAGGTAAGGGGCGCTGCCCCCTCTTACATTTCAGCACGGGGGAGTCCCAGGGGCTCCGCCTGCGGCGCGGAGGTCCGCGGTGGGGGGGTGGGCGGAGGAGCCGCGGCGGCTCGGGGCCAGGACCGCATGGGGCTGGCGAAGGGGGAAGGGGAAGGTGGCTTGAATGAGAGAGCCGGGCCGGGGCTGGGCCGCGGCCTCCGGCGCCTTGGGCCGGCGCTGCCCGACGCTTCCGCGGGGCCGCGGCGCCCCTCGCGGGCTGCGGCCTGCGGGCGGGGCCCGGCGTTCCCGCCTCGCGGCGCCGCCTCAGCCGCGTGCCGCCTCCGCCTCGGCGCGGGTCAGCCCCCGTCAGCCGTCCTCAGCCCCCCTCAGCCTCCCTCAGCCTCCCTCCGGGCTCCGCACCGCGGCGGGCCGGGCGTCCCCCCTCGGCCCCCCTCACCCCGCGCTCAGCTCCCGGGACCCCCCGGCCCCTCCTGGCCCAGCCTTGCCCACGCCCTCCGCGGCCCGCGGGGGTCTCCGCGTCTGCCCTGAACCTTCGTCCCCCACGTCGCTTGCTTTTCTGAACTTCCTGTGTGTTTCCTTCCTTTCCCCCCCGCTGTGCTTCTCCGGGCGGCGGTAGGAACCACAGCGGTAGCCGCGGCCGTTTGTTACGTGCTGCTTCTCTGTGCCTTTGGAGTAGTTGCTATTGTCATTCTGCAGGCCACAGGCCAGAGTCCTCTGCAGTTAAGTTACTTGCCCATCTTACAGGTGAGGAAACTGAACCTCGCAGAGGTCGAGGAAGTGGGACGAGGCCGCGTAGGTGGAATCGTGGCTCCAGGAAGTGGCTCGAACCCAGGCGGGCGGGCTCGCAGTCTGGATCGCTCTTCCATACTTTTGCTTACGCCATTGCCCTGAAGAGTGCAGTGACCTTTCTTCCTCTGGTGTCTCAGTGCCTATGGAATTTGCAATTAAGATGTGGTTCCGTAAAGTGTCTTGATAAAGTAAAATTCTTTAGTCAGCGATTTTTGAGGACCAGAGGGACGGAGCTTTATGTATGTTCGGTACATTTTTTTTTTTTTTAAGCCCCCTTGCATGGGGGAAAATGTCATTTCAGATGTTCAGCTCTCATTCTGAATTGTGCCATTGTCAGCGTTTGGAAATGAAAAAGAGCAGTGTAGGTTATGAGGACTCTTTAGCATTGTCTGGAGCTCAAGATGAAATTGTGTAAAGAAATGGGTATTGTTACTCAAGTTTTCAGGAGAAAAAAATCTTCTAAATTATGAATTGTCACACACAAAAATCCTTGTTTGACAGGAATAAAATCTTGTTTTCTTTCAGAGATGAATTTCAAATCCTTTAAACCCCATATGCACACTTTATTTTTTTAAAGATTTAATTTATTTATTCATGAGAGGCAGAGAGACAGGTGGAAGGAGAAACAGGCTCCCTGTGTGGAGCCTGATGCAGGACTCCATCCCAAGACCTGAGGGATCACGCACGACCTGAGCCAAAGGCTGACGCTCCACCACCGCTGAGCCATCCAGTGGCCCCTCCCCACCCCCCCTTAGGTACACTTTAGTAATGAGTGATCAAAGTGCATTGTCAGGGTGGTTCAGTATTAGTGATGGAACGTTTATTCCTGATTGTGCTCTCAAGAGAATAGTTACTTAGCTAGTCATATTGGGAACATTACTTTGCATTTTAGAGCTTCACAATGAGTAGCCTTTTAGACTTTTTTTTTTTTTTTTTTTAAGATTTTATTTATTTATTCATAGACACACACAGAGAGAGGCAGAGACACAGAGGGAGAAGCAGGCTCCATGCAGGGAGCCCGGCGTGGGACTCGATCCCGGGTCTCCAGTATTACACCCCAGGCTGCAGGCGGCGCCAAACCGCTGCGCCACTGGGGCTGCCCCCTTTTAGACTTTATTAATAGTAGCCTAGATATTGTTGTAAAACTGATTTGAATAGGGTTTTAAATTAGGTGTCCTCTTGCGTATATTTTATACCTTGGCCTCTTGGGTTGGAAGTTGCTTCCAGAGCATATTGTAAAAACTATTTCATGTAAATAAAATAATTTATTTTAGCGTTTCTCATGGTTTAAGAGATTATCTATTTTTGTGGCTTCTTTGATGGTAGAAATTGAGCCTTAGTTTTTGTATTTGTATCCTTAATGTATATCATGTTCTGTCTGTAGTAGTGCCTGGCAAATAAGGTATTCAATGGATGTATGGTAAATAAATGAATATAGGAAATTTGGAGATGGTTTCCTTATTGGACCTATATTTTGTGTGTGCTCTGTGACAGTCATTGACCTAGGTACCTGCTGGCATTAGAGTCTCTTGAACCAGACTAGAAACCTTTTGTCCTCAAGGAGCTTCCATGCTACTTAAGACTGATCTAAATTCTAAATTAAAACTAATCTCATCAGATGATCAGCCTGCAAGTGTGAAGAGCCTTTCGCAGGGTCACCGAGTAATTGGCAGGGTCTAGGTCTCTTTACAGCCCTACCACTTAATTTGATTCCCATATACCAGTAGCACCTCTCTATTTTTGCCCCTTCTATTAAAGTACTTGCAGTGTTGTCTTCACTACAGAGGGCGTTGCATATCTGGATAGAATATTTGTAGGGAAATACATTTGTTCTTTTGCGGAAAAAAAGTTATTTTTTTATTCATATAAGAAGCCTTCTGTTTTCCAAAAGGATTGAAAGTGGTAGGGATGCCAGTAACCCACAGTAGATAGAATTTATTCAGAGATTCAAATGCCACCTATCCCTTCACGTTTGAGGACCATTAACAAAACTTCTGTAGAGTCCTGTTTCTGTAGATCCTTTATCTGAGGGCTTTGTTTACCTATTAATGCTTTACATCTTACAACAAGGTACTTGCAATCTCAATTTCCTCAACTGTACAGTGTGCATAAGAGTACACTGGTGCTATCCCTGGCTAGCTGCTTTAAACAAGTTATTTTTTTGTGTCGTAGTTTCAGTGGTGCCAAACTTAACCTTACTGCTTGTCTGAGGATAAAAGAGTTCGTATAAATACTGTCCATATAACTTGCCTAGTATATAAGAAGTATCCAGTTTTCACTCTCATTAAAGGAGTAATGCTTGAACAAGTATCATCCTGGGCACTGGGTTGCAGCAGTACACTAAGAGGAAATTATATACTAGTGGGTAGAGATAATACAGAAGTAAACAAGTGAGGAATTTCTCCATTGCATTTATCATAATTGAAAATTCACATTGAGTAATGAGCCAGAGGGATTGGGAGAGGTTTGGGATGGGAAAAGAGTTTGAGGTAACGTTTGAACTGAGACTGAGTAATGAGCCAGTTATGTAAACATCTGGGGAAAAGCATGCCAGGCAGAGGCTTCAAGGTAATGAACTGTTCAAGTATTTGATCAAAAAAGAAGACTGGAGTCTATAGAGAGGTCAGGTTACAGAGGGGTCAGTTACAGGGAGTCTGATAATAGTAATTATAGTAATATAGCTATTATATAGCTATGGCAATATATAATATAGCTATGGCAATATAGCTAACACTATAGTGTAGCTAACGTTCTAATATTAATACCGTTTAACATCTACTCATCTTCCTATATACTAATGTCATAGCCACAGTAATACTAGCTAATACTTAGTGAAGACTTAACTGCTAGGTGTCGCTCCAAATACTTTACTAGCTCGTTTTCCTCGCAGTTTCTAGTAAGGTTGTTGGGATGAAACTGGTATAAAGAGCTCTGCACGTGTGTCATACAGATCTGAATCAGAAGATGCCAACTTTAGGCTGTTGATGGGGGAAATTCTGTGAATCTTGTCACCATTTTTAGTGGCAGACTTGATAGCTAAGTTGTTTAGTCAAATTGCCAGTGAAGTGTCTTTTCAAGTAGTGCGCTGTGCTAGGTTTTATAGGGGAACGAAAGTAGTGTACCGGATACTATCCTAAATGTTTCACAGGGATTATCTCATTGAACAGAGAGATAGGAGATAGGTTTTATTTCTCTTCCCCTGCTAATTTACATCTGAGTATACTCAAGCTCAGAAATTATGTAACCAGCGTCACAACAAGAAGCAGAGCCCTGATTTGACTTTTCTGTGATTCTAGAGCCTAAACGCTTAACTTCAAGCTGTTAACTAGGAAGTGAAATTCTAAAGAAAGAATTACTGTAAATTTTTCAAAAAGGGAGAGGCAGACTCAAAGGAAATCAGAAGATTAAGGTGCATTTTTAACTCAGTGCTGAAACAGAGTATCTTTCCTTGGCTTTTAATATTTTTCTGCCCAAAGGTTAAGATTTTCTTCAGTAACAATGGCTGTCTTTGGGGGGGTGCCTGTGGTTTGAAGAAGACTAATCATTCTGATACAATCATTGCTGCTTTTTGTAGTCACTATTTTTACCTCATACTTTGTAACCTTGAGTGTACAATCATTTGCAATTTTGGTTAAATACACCTGGTATAATAATTCTTGGATGTGTTTATTTATAGTCCTGGTGTTCTCATGGAAGGCATATTGATTCTTAGGATATTTTTTGTGACAGTTGACCTACAGTGTGGAAAATTTAGAAAGTTCAAAGGATAATCTTAAGCAGAAAGTTGAAAAATGCAGAAAAGTTGGAAGAGCTTGGTGAGGAGAGTATAAAAATTATTATTTTCAAATATACATAAGGAATGTAACTAGTAATCTTGTGAGCACAGAAATGTAAATTTCATGTATAAAGGAGAGAGAGTAGCTACTGAGAAGAATAAGGCGAATTACCTTAAAAATAGTTTTTAGAATATTCTGCATAAGCTACTTGTAAGGTAGCTTGTGTAGGATATCACCTAGGTATTCATCGGTTGATTGCACACATACTGAGACCTACCGTGTGCAGACCTGTGTGCTAGGAATATACAGGGTAGCGGGACAGACCTAATTTCTGCTCTAAAGGGCCTTACGTAGACAGCAGGGCGTAGTGTTTAAGAACCATTTGCCTGTGTTCAAATCCTAGTTTTACTGCTGAACCAGTTGTGAGGTCTTGGGCAAGTGATACTTACCTTTTCTGTGTCTTAATGTCCTCATCTTTAAAATGAAGTTGATCATTTAGTTGAGCTTTGAACAATGTGGGTGATAGGAATGCTGACCCCCAGCCCCCATGCAATTTGAAAATTCAAGCAGAACTTTTGACTCCCCCCAAAACTCATCCATTAATAGCCTGTTCTTGTCTGGAAGCCTTATCCATAACATAAGCAATTGATTAACACATGTTTTGTATGTTATATGTATTGTATACTGTATTCTTACAATAAAGTTAGCTAGAGAAAAGAAAATCATAAGGAGGAGACTATAAGTACCGTACTGAATTTAGTGAAAAACATTTGCTCGTAAGTGGACCTGTGCAGTTAAAACCTGTGTTGTTCAAGGGTCAACTCTAGTGTCTTACGTCATAGGGTTATTATGGTGGTTAAATCACTTAAAAAACAGCTTAGAGCACTGCCTGACATAGAGTAAGCAGAGTTAGTAATTTTTTGAAAAAGCACTTGTAAGAAGAGGTGGATAATACCACCTTAGATGTTACTACCTATCTGTTTAAGTGCCATGGAGAAAACCAAGGTGTTTAGCTAGAGTTTGAAGGATGGAGTGGGGTGCAGTGTAGCAAAAGGCTTTTCATTTAGTTAAAGAATACTTGTGATCTCTGAAGCCACTGCCCACCTCTATCTCCTGTACTTTGTATTTGGAAGTAATTTCAAGAATTTCCAAAAATGAAGGTAATCACCTATTGTTAATATTTTATCTCTTCTGCTATATAATTTGCATGTATGCATGTTCTTTGTTACTCTGAACCATTTGAAAGTAAGATACATATACTATGGCCCTTTACCCCTAAATACTTAAGTGTCTATTTTCTAAGAATTGAGATACTCTCAACTACAACACAGTTATCCGACTTCATAATTTTTTTTTTTTATAAAATTTTATTCATTTATTCATGAGAGACCCAGAGACATAGGGAGAGGGAGAAGCAGGCTCCATGCAAGGAGCCCGACACGGGACTCAATCCTCTGACTCCAGGATCACGCCCTGGGCTGAAGGCAGGCACCAAACTGCTGAGCCACCCAGGGATCCCCCAACTTCATAAATTTACACTGACACAGTACTTATTCTCCATATCCCAAGTGTTATCCTTTGTAATTCAATACGTCCTATATGGCAATTTTTTCTCTTTAGCTTCCTTTAAAATCTAGAACATTTCCACAGCCTTCCTCTTATGTATAACTTTGATAATTGTAAATACCCCCCTTCCTTTTTTCTTCTAAAATTTATTTATTTTAGAGTGTGCACGCATGGACGAGTGGAAGGGGCAGAAAGAGAGGGAGAGAATCTAAAGCAGACGCTCGGTGGAGCATGGAGCCCAACACAGGGCACGTTGATCTCACAACCCTGAGATCATGACCTGAGCTGAAATCAAGAGTCGGACACTTAACCAACTGTGCCACCTTGGTGCCCCTCCTTCCTTTCTTTTTAATGGAACATTCCTCAGTTTGTGTTTGTCTAGTATCTCCTCATTATTAGATTGAGGTTATACATTCTTGCCTGTAATAGGTGATACTGTATCCCTCTCAGTCACATGGTACCCATTTATCCATTTTAGATAGCAATTTTGATCATTTGGTCAGGTTGTTGCCCAGTTTCCTTAATATGTAGTGTTTCTTCATCCTACCCTGCAACTGTAAATAGCATGTGGGGAGATGTCTTAAGACCATCCAAATATCATCCGTATCCAAAGTTCCTCCCAGATTTGGTGACCATTGATCATTCTTACCAGTGTACTTTTTACCATGATGATTGCAAAATGAGGACTTTACAACTCCACTTGCTTTTTTTTTTTTTTTTTAAAGATTTTATTTATTTATTCATAGGAACACAGAGAGAATGAGAGGCAGAGACACAGGCAGAGGGAGAAGCAGGCTCCATGCAGAGCCTGACGTGGGACTTGATCTAGGGTCTCCAGGATCACGCCCTGGGTTGCAGGTGGCGCTAAACCGCTGCGCCACTAGAGCTGCCCCTCCACTTGCTTTTTTTTTTTTTTTTTAATTTTTATTTATTTATGATAGTCACACACAGAGAGAGAGAGAGAGAGGGAGAGAGAGAGAGGCAGAGAGAGAAGCAGGCTCCCTGCACCGGGAGCCCGACGTGGGATTCGATCCCGGGTCTCCAGGATCGCGCCCTGGGCCAAAGGCAGGCGCCAAACCGCTGCGCTACCCAGGGATCCCTGCGCCACCCAGGGATCCCACCTCCACTTGTTTTTAAGGGCCTTTTAAATTTGATTTTAATTAGAGATCAGTAGCTACATTTTATAATTTTGAGAAGGAAAAATTTATGCATTGCTTTCTCACACAGGATGGCTCAACAGCAGGCCTTGAGGTTCCGAGGCCCGGCTCCCCCACCAAATGCAGTGATGCGAGGCCCACCACCTCTTATGCGACCTCCTCCACCATTTGGTATGATGCGAGGCCCTCCACCACCACCTCGGCCCCCTTTTGGACGCCCTCCTTTTGATCCTAATATGCCGCCAATGCCTCCTCCAGGAGGGATTCCTCCACCTATGGGCCCTCCACACCTCCAGGTAAAGAATGTAGAGGTTGCTGTTTCTGTGTCAGTGTTAGTATCGATATTATATATGAGTTTTGCTTAAAAACCAGTTCTTAGTTTCATTGTATAGGAAAATGGGAGCTAAAGAGAACATCCATATGTTAGCATCTTTGTCCAGAAGCAGTGGTAATATAATTAGTACAGAAATTCAGAATGGGAATTTAGATGTTGATAGGAAAAAAACCATACATGTAAAACTAGGATTCAGCAGGGTAGTTCTTACATGCCTTTGTCTCTTGAGAATATAGTAATCTGTCTTTATGAGATATGAAATTTGAAGTCTTAATATATAGAGTGAGCAAAATTTATTTTCATTGATCCATATTGCCAAGAAGTGTAAATGTATGTATATATATTTCTGAGCAGTTCCCCCTAGAAATAATGCCTAGGAGGGAATCTAGAAAGTGACAATAAATACGTAAGTGCAATACTTGGATTTTCTCTCCCTGAGGAGAAAAAAAGGGTTATCTTAAAATTTTAGAAATAGAATTATTGTGGTATTTCTTTAAATAAATGCTTTTTTGGTATTTTAACCTGAGGCATTATATTTCTCTCTAGTTTACATAGACTCATTTATTGTCTAAAATGATGTCATGAAGATATCAACTCTCAAATGTCTACTTTTGAGATTGTATTCTTTTTGTTTGAGTATGTATCTGTTTTCATGTTTATCTAGCCAGCACACCTCTGAAACCGAATATAGTGCTGCCATCTGCCCTCCATTAGCTTAGGTAATCAAGATTGAACTTACTAAAAATAGAAAAGGGTACCGATGTAGTATTTAAGTGAAGTTAATTCAGTCTAGATAGGGTTATATTTATGGAAGAGACACAAGGTTTTAATATTTTGCTAAGTAATTGTATTGCCTTCCAAGTAGTGGATAGTTCCTGTATGCCCCCCCACCCCAGTATTAAATGGTTTTATATTTCTTTGAAGATTAGAATAAGAAATAGCTTTTTGACCTACTGACTCTGGTATAACTTGTAATGATAGGTGGATATATTCTAATTTGTGTCTTTAAGAGTTAAATCTACTTGTGAAATAACCATAAAATGTAATGAACTAATGTAACTCTCTAATGGAAATAAGTCAGATGTTGTAATGTGTTATTTTCAAATGTTGTGATGCATTTCTTCGTCTTGATGGATAAGAGAGTGGTTTTACTTCAAATCCAAATGATTTCCAGCTAATGGTGCATGAAACGTATTTAGGGTGGTTATTTCATAGAATGAAAGTCTGTGTGCTGTTGCTGGAAAGACCAAACTGAATCCAGAAAAACCTGGAGTATGGGAAAGACCGTTTTAGAAAAAGGAAACGCAGTTTCATATTATTAGCATAGTGTTTGTCCCGTTATACAGTTTAAGATACTTTGGATAATTGAATTTTAATGTTACTTATAGATTATAGAGGCATCTTTTAAATTCCTGTTCAGAATCTGTTTTTAAAATACCAGGCCACTTTTCTGCTTTATTAAGTAAGATATAGCAGTTGCAGTTAAATTGTTTGACTCGGGGTCTTGTGTCAGCAATTGTTAAAGAATGACAGTAAAGGAATTGTCAGAGATAGGATTAGATCAGCAGTGGCTCCAGGAAATTTGTTAAAAATTGTAATATATACCATTTAAGTTCTTATTTTCACTAAAAGTAAAATGGATAACTATTTAACTGTCTTTTAAACTTCCTGATGTTTGTGTTTCTAAGCTACATTATTAGTATTATTTGGGAAAAAAAGGAAATGATGAATATTTTCCTACCTTATTATAGTTAACTGTTTTATAGGAAAAGAGAATAAAGGGTTAGGTATAGCTGATTTTTCTTTTTTAGTTCTTACTGTGTTATTTTATGAAATAATGTTTCTCTTATGATTGGTTCCTGTCATAGATGAGGTATGGAGGCATTGGTGTGCTTGGTGTTCAGCAAAATGCTAAATCAGTTTTTTCCTTTTGAAAATAATCCACTGCCCAGGGTCATGAAATAATACAGTTAAAGTATAAAGAATATAGCAAGATTGATTCCTCCATGAGGCTGTAACACAGTGAGGACTCCTGTTAGTATTTTTTAAAAAAATATTCATTCATTCATTCATTCATGAGAAACAGAGAGAGAGAGGCAGAGACACAGGCAACGGGAGAAGCAGGCTGCATGTAGAGAGACGGACGTGGGACTCGATCCCAGGCCTGGGGATCACGCCCTGGGCCATAGGCGGCACTAAACCGCTGAGCCACCCGGGGTGCCACCCTGTTAGTATTTTGATGTATTTCTTTTTAAGTCTGTTTTAGGTAGTCATTTTTTTTAAATAATAAATTTATTTTTTATTGGTGTTCAATTTACCAACATACAGAATAACACCCAGTGCTCATCCCGTCAAGTGCCCCCCTCAGCGAGTAGTCATCTTTGTTAAAGAGAAACTTGTCTTATACAACCTAGATGAATGTATTTGAATGGACTATAAAACTAGTCTCTCTTATATACTACTTTACTATTGGGTAGAATTTAGTCATTTGAAGGAAAAGAAAGATAAATACAAGTGACCATTACTGTTTTCCTTAATCAACAGAGACCACCTTTTATGCCTCCGCCCATGGGAACCATGCCTCCTCCGCCGGGTATGATGTTTCCACCAGGAATGCCTCCTGTGACTGCTCCTGGTACTCCAGCACTGCCTCCTACTGAGGAGATATGGGTTGAAAATAAAACTCCAGATGGGAAGGTAAATTATAAAATATATTTAGGTGGTTATCCTGGCAGATGGAAATCAGTGACTGTTAAAACAAGTCCCAGATAAGCTCTGGATAGGTTAGAACGCCAAGAAAGGCTCACCGGATTGGACTTCTGCACAGACGTAAGGTTGCCTGGAATGCTCACATATGTTTACTTATGATTCTGGAAGCTTGGATTTTAAAGTGTCATGAGGTTTGGTGTTCGCTAGGAGAACTCCCAGAACTCCGCATATAGTAGTACTTACAGCTAAGACTAATTACAGTGAAAGGATCCGAAGCAAAACCAGCAAAGAAAGAAAGGTGTATGGGGCAAAGACTGGAGGAAACCAGGCACAAGCTTCCAAGAGTCCCCTCAGTGGAATCAAATAGAACATAGAACATGTTTAATTCCTTCAGCATGGAATTGTGACGGTACCTGTGAAGTGTTATCTACCACTGAAGCTCGCCTGAGCCAATGAGTACGGGATTTTCAGGGAATGGTGGGAGCCCTCTTAGAATTCTGGTGTCCAAATGCCAGTCACGGGTCAGCTTTGCAAACAGGGCTTTCTATGGAGAGCGGTCTGAGGCCTGCTGTGTTAACTTTGTACACAAAATACAACTTTGGTTTCCTTTTAATGTTCAAGACAGTGTGCTCATAGGACATTAGGGGAAGGGATGAAAAGGGAAAAATTACCTTTAGTATTATAATAAACCAACAGCTAGTTTCCATGTACTTCTTTTTTCTAAGTTTTTTTTTTTTTTTAATACCTTTTAAGACAATATAGTTGCATTAGTGTTTTTTAATGATAGTTGACAGATTCTGGGATACCAACGATTTTGCTTCCTCTGCAGGTTTATTATTATAATGCTCGGACACGTGAATCTGCATGGACCAAACCAGATGGAGTTAAGGTTATTCAGCAGTCAGAACTGACACCTATGCTTGCAGCCCAGGCTCAGGTTCAGGCCCAGGCGCAGGCGCAGGCGCAGGCACAAGCACAAGCTCAAGCGCAGGCCCAGGCCCAGGCCCAGGCTCAGGCCCAGGCTCAGGCACAAGCACAGGCTCAGGCGCAGGCCCAGGTGCAGGCCCAGGTGCAGGCGCAAGTACAAGCACAAGCAGTAGGAGCTTCCACCCCTACAACCAGTAGCCCAGCACCTGCAGTGTCCACTTCAACATCATCATCCACCCCATCCTCTACCACTTCTACCACAACAACTGCCTCTTCGGTTTCGCAGACAGTATCAAGTGAGTACCAGCCAGCATGTATTTTCATTCAGGGGCTAGAGAAATGGACAAGTAGGGACTGCATTGCAAAATGATCCTAGTGTTTCAGGTGTTATCTTTGATTTTATTTAAAATACACATTGACATTAAGATTTTTGGGTTAAAAAAGGAACAGGAATTTACATTAGTAGAAGAAACTATTTGTCCTTTTGGCATTCATGGAGCTAAACCGGGGAGTGCAGAAGTAGCTGTTCATCTTGGCCAATAGTAAAGCTGGGTGCCGAGGGGTTTGTAAAATAAGTGTCTTTGTTCCTGCCTTCCAGGCCTTCCAGTTTTTTTAATTGAGGCAAGCATAACATATGTGGGACAATTAGAAGTGTGCACAGTTATACAGTGAGAATAGAAGGTGTAGGAAGTTAAGAATAGGGAGAGACAAGTAAATGGGTGGACAAACTGGGTTTTGAGGTTGGTCATGAAGGATGGGTGGTAGGACTCGAGTAGGTTTCAAAGTAAAGATATTTTTCAGGTAGAAGGACAGCATGAACAAAGGTCAGGAGATGAGAACAAATACAGTTCATAGGATTGCTAAGAAACTCTTCTGAGTTGGGGGTGGTTATATCGGTTAACATATTTAGAGTGAGACTAGATTACAAAGAGTTTTAAGAACAAATAGGTGAAGGAGGTAGGTTCCGGGGTCCTGTGTAAGTGCAGTGTTCTGGAACATTTTTCTGGTGTTCTTTGTTTTTGCCGTGAGGGTGTTACTGAAATCAGGAAAAATTACTAGGAAGTTTTCATTAATCTCGTTTAGAGGTAAATAGGTCTTAGAATAGGATACAGGTGGATGGATGAAGAGCAGAGATAGAAGCAGTCAGAAAAGTGAGAGAATTTTCAGGTGTCACATCACAGAGGCCCCCCGGGGTAGACCTTTCTGAAAAAGGTGAGAGGGGATTAATAGCAGATTTTAGGAATGGAAAGAGAAGAATTATTAATTAATTTGCTTAAAAGGATGTTGTTTATATTTACACTACTAGTTCCGGGAGGTTTTTTATTTGTGTTTTTATATATATGGTGCTACTTAATTTTAGGATGAGATTGAGCCCAAAAATAATGAAAGAATGATTTTACCAATTAGATTATTTGTTATGATACAGGCATGAAAATACATAGTTAACCCTATAGATAATTAGAAGTTGGATTATTTTGCTACCTGGATAATAGATGAGAATAAGAAAAGTCCCGTAGTTTCAGGGACTTGGGAATTATTAGTGTCTTTTACCCTGTAAGAAAGAAGTGAGAGAGATTTAATAGTAGTAGATTCAAATTGGATTGATAACAAGGAGTAACTGCAGAAGTCAGGTACACCTGATGTAGACTGTAGTGATATATTTTAACGGCTGTACTTGATATATTTTAGAAGTTTGGGGGAAAATGCGCTTAGTAGGAAGATGTAAATAATGCTTTACGAGTTATTTTCTCGTTTAGCTAAGGTGAATTCCGCCATGGAAGTATAACGGACAGGAGCTAGCTGGCTGAGGGGCTTTCCCTTCTTGTAGGCTCGTGCTTCTCAAAACCTGTGTGGTAATGCAGGAAGCTGCCAGTTTTTATGGCATACCTGTGGCGATAGTGGCAGAAGGAGATTAATAAAAGCATTGCAGTTCTCTGTGGATGCTGTGTTGCTTATGCTTTGTTACCTTCCTTCTTAGGAAGGGGAAAGAGCAGTACTTTGTTTTAAAGAAGGTTGGTAGTAGAATACTTCAACTGTCCTGTGTGTATTCTGTTTCTGTATCAGGGTGGTCTATCAATTGGCCCAAAGCTGTCTTGCTGCTATAAACTATTCCTTTCAGAACTCTGGTTTGTCATTTTTTGTACTGCCCTTCGCTGATTGGGAGGCCCTTATTCTAAGAACAGAATAGCAGAAACATGTTCTTTTTACTGCCTTTAGGCATCACTTTTGATGTTCTTTCTGAGTATTCCTGATGTCTGTTTTTATTTCACTTGATTCAGTATCCTGAAGTGTTGTCATACTACAGTCTTAGTATTTCTCCATCTGTTGTAGTCACTTGTCTTTTTAAATTAATATCTGAAGCTGGATTAGTAGTATATTTGAGGCCTAGCGTTTCATTAGTTATTTTAGCAAGAGGAGTTGGCAGGAGTTCAGTGACCATTAAGTCCTAGCTACCATTTTCCCAGTTTTCCATTGAATTCTTTCATTGCCTTTGTGTCTTTCCTCTCATGATTCATGGCCACGATCAGATTTAGAAAATCCTGTGTCAACAGGAGAAATGGGTTGAGTGAATAACTTTTTGCCATCTCTACTGGTGTTCCTTTCCACTTGAAATTTGATACTTCTGTAACTCCTTTTCTTTTCCTGACTACAGTACTTTTTATCTTGCTTCTACTAATTATATCTAAATAATTATTACTATAACATTTTTAAAAATGTAGTTGTATGAACTGCGGTATAGTCCTGTGTATTAATGGAACTAAAAATTATTAAGAAATTTATGTTTTAGCCCCAGTTGAGCATAAACTCATTTTATTGTGTGCAAGTTTGTGAAAAATGCTGATGGAACCCTCCTTCTCAGGGACATTGGGAAGAATAACTAGACATATTTTCAGCCATTACAGTAGATTACAAATGCTAAGTGGTGTATTTATGGGACTGGGCAAATGTTGCATGTAATTTGTATTTTTCATACTGTTCTATAAAATTATATTAATATGATACTGTACCCTAAGGCTAGGTCTATGCTAGACCAACAATTCATTCCTGGGCCCCTGAAGATACTTGTTTGGCCCTGCTGTCTATTTAGCCAAGGTGAGTCCCGCATTAACAAGTATGAAATTGCTCACATCTTCCCAGCCTAAGTGAGTTTTTCATTAGTAGGAGCTGAAAAAGATATAAATTTTGTCAGTTGGATTATTGGGTGGCTTGTATTCAACAGTGTGCTTTCCCTTAGAATAAAATTGGCATAAAGATTGGGAATGCACGGTTTTATTTCATTTAATTTGATAAATTCATTCTTAGTCCAGTACAGGTAGTTTGAAGTTTTTCTTTACATCAAGAAAAAATGAAGTATTTGTTACCAGTGAATTACCAAAATGAATTCTGTTTTGGAACTAAATGGTTTATAAATAAATAATAAAAATGTTTTATAATATTTGAGAACTAAAACTTTTTAAAAAGTATAAAATACGAATTTATTTATTTTGGGAGGGTCACAATTTGATTTTAAATGGGATCCTAGAGATGAAATGTTTTATTTTTGTTACTTAAAAATAATGTAGTAGAGTCAGATTATCCCTAGTTTCACATTCTCTTGGTCTCTCACACTGGAAACCTGAGTTGTTATTATTTTTTCTTTTTCCACTTTTTTATTTTGAAATTATTGTAGAGAAACCTGACTTGTTTTTTACTCCATTTTGTTCATACTCAGTCATCAGTTATTACTTACCTTTTTCTCTGTTCTTCCTTGCTTGGACAATTCCAGAAAGGCTGAAATTGATTTTCCCACCTGTGTTCTTCCTCTTCTTCCCATTCATCTGCCAGATTAATTCATCAAACAAACATTGATTAATCCTTTCCATACAGAAACCTTCATTTTGCCTCTCTTAGACCTTTTCTATACTCACAAAGTCACACAAATAACACATGAATGCATTCTTAGAAAAAAATTGAGACTAATGAAGGATATGTAGCAAAATGTGGAAGGCATTTACAGATGTAATGAGAATATACATTTTGGTGTGCATTCTCCTAGATCAGTTTTCTACACTTACATTAGCTCTTCCCTCTCCCTGCCCAGTGAAGTGCAGACTCCTTAGACTTCTGTCACAGCCTGCTACTTGATGCCTCTGGCCTGCCTCTCCAGCCATAACTCACTGGTTCTTTTGATATGCCTTGTGTTTTATTAGTTGACTGCTTGCCATGTATTTTCTAAACAATTCCTTGTCGTTACCTCCTCTTTGCTTTTACTCACTTTTCTCCCTCCACTGTCATTGTCCTTGTTGAAATCCTAATCTTTCAAGGCCTGTCATCACAGTATACAACTTTCTGTACCCTCTCACAGTTAGAAATGGTCTTTGCGTCTTGATGTACACTCTGCTACATTTATCCCATTTCATTTTGTATTTTAGTTATGTTTGTATTTCATTTAGCTATTTTCAAGCTTCTTGAAGACAGAGACCTTGTTAGAAATTTCTCGCAGTGCATGGAATGGGCTCTTAAGTACTTACTGAATGAGTGAATGATGAATGAATATAGCGAAATGGTTTATGAAGGAGTGATACATATTCTTTTTTTTTATCTTTTATCAGCACCCACAACACAAGATCAGACCCCAAGTTCCGCTGTTTCAGTTGCCACGCCTACAGTTAGTGTTTCAACTCCTGCTCCTACAGCCACACCTGTGCAAACTGTTCCCCAGCCGCATCCCCAGACGTTACCTCCTGCTGTTCCTCATTCAGTACCTCAGCCAGCAGCAGCAATACCTGCTTTTCCACCAGTAATGGTACCTCCGTTTCGTGTTCCCCTTCCTGGCATGCCAATTCCACTTCCAGGTAAACCAATAGATTCTAATAGTCCTTTCCAGCTATGTTTTCATATTGTCAGTTAGTTTGTTCTCATGTGTCTGTTGCATTTGAAATTTGCCTTGAATCTCACCTGTTTGAAATGTTTTTGAAAGATTCATGGCTAACTGCAATATTTTCTCTTCAGTTTTGGTAAATGTCCTTTTTGTTGTTGTTGTTTACATGTCTTAAAATTAGAGCCACATTTGAAGCTACACTCATTTTTGATAATGGCCTCAGTGAGTTAAAAATGATCATCTTTTCATGTAACTATGTTCAAATGCAATATCTTTAAAGGACTGAGTCTGTGAAGTTGAGAACTTAACAGGTCATTAATAGCTAATACATATTGATTTTATACATCGTGCCCTGTTCTAAGCACTTTACATGTAACTAACTCAGTTTTGCAACCATGGTATGAGGTAGGTACACAGATAGGTTAAATTACTTGCCCATGGTCACATAGTAAGTGATCGTGTTGGGATATGAGCTAAGCACTCCAGACCCAAATACCATGCTCTTAATAACTATGTTATACTGGGAAGAAAATGTGTCACTTAACTGTAAGAAATTCATCAAAAGCAAAACCAGAACTTTTCCTTGTAACATTTGTGAAATGAAGCATAACCTGCACCATTTAAATAGTTAACGGTGAGATTGTGAAGTAGAGTTTTTCCTGTAGCGGTTAAAACAATGACAGTGTTGGGCATCCTAATTTGAATGCATTTGCTGTTGGCAAACACAATTAACCCTTAATCTGTGGTCTGTTCTCCTAATATTTCAGTTTGAAGCTTTTCTACATTAGAGAGCTCAAGTTCACAGGGCTAGTTTGTTGCAGAGGTGGATAGAACTTAGGCCCCTTGTCTCCCAATTTCATATTCCTCCCGCTGTCTATTGCTACTTTATTTTTACTAGTTTTTATATAAGAATAGGGTTGTAGTACAGCTGTTTCTTAGATTTGTACATTTTAAAATTATCGTTACTGTTCTAAATTATCTTTTTCCTTGTGACCACTTGGAAAAGAAACAGTCACTTAGGTATTTATTACACCTTAGCAAGAAAGAAACCAGAATTTTAAGAATTAGTGAGGTTTTTTCCCCCTAAGGAAAACCTTTTGCACATTGTTGATGTAGTGTTAGGTAATTAAGTGCCCAATATGTGATGTTTAGGAAACTCAAAACTATTTAAAAGTAAGAGGGAAACCAAAAATGTTTCCTCATACTAGGGATTGCCCTTTTTCTAAATTAAATTTAAGACAAGCTGCTGGATAATTGCCTCTTTGGATATACTCTTGGTAGAAAACCAGGTGATAAATGGAGACTAGGTTGACACTGGTCATGAGCTCTTGAATCTTAGGTGTATTTGGGGTTAAGGACAGTATTCATACCAGCTGCTGGATTCTGAATGATCTGAAGGAGCTTGGGTTGTTAATTCTGTAGAGGGAAGATTGAGGGTTGGGTAGGGTAATCATATTACTGAAGTATTTGAGAGGTTGAGAGGATTTTTATTTTGCTTCGGAAGTTGTTAATAGGACCAGTGGGTGAAAGGTATAGAGTAGCAGAATTGATATCTATAGAATGTTGAATTTTGTCACAATAAAATCCCTTCATTTATAGCTCTGTTTTGATGTCACAGTCTTCTCTGATCCTCATCCCAGGTTTTAGTGGTGACCATTTGACCAAATGAGGTAGTACCTATGAAGTTTAGTCATAAAAAGCATTTAATAAATGGCAGTCACTAATGTCATCTTGTAGGTCATTTGGAAGCGAGCTTGAGGTAGATAATCTGTAAAATTTTGTCCAAGATGCCAAGATTCCTTAGAGTGTTAATGTATAATAGAGAGTAATAATAATAACAATATTTGTCTATGTGGTAAGGCATCTTTGATACTACAAATTCATTTTCTCATTTCCCTTTCAATTCTGTTCTCCTTGGTGCTTTAGTGAGAAAGAAAAGAAAAGAAAAAGATGACTTGTTTTGCTCCTCCCCAGATCTTTTATATACAGTGGGATTGATCTCTTTTTATCAATTTGGCAGTAAGGTAAACAGGAAGGATTTGGATGTTATTTATTCTGGAGCTTTAAGTTCTATCTCTAATAGCAATGTATGGCTCTAATGAGAATGATTAAGGAAGGGATAGTCAAATAAGATGAAGGAAAGGAGTGGAAGAATTACGGGTAAAAAATACAGGAATAAGACTTGGCATTGGGAATAGTAAATTGAATTAAAATTACAGGATGTCTGAAACTATAAAATCTTAGAATATGAAGAAACTTGTCATTGACATTGGAACTCTTCAAAATGCTAAGTGAAATTTTCTAATTTCTTAGTAGAACATAATTTGAGAATAAACTTACAGGAAAATTGAAGATGCTCCCTTTAGGTTCTTTTTAATTTTATTTTTTAAATTTATTTTATTTATTTGAGAGAGAGCATGTGAGCATGAGAAGAGGGAAGGGCAGAAGAAGAGGGAGATAGAGAATCTTAAGCCACCTTCCCCCTGAGTACAGAGCTGGACATGGGGCTTATCTCAGGAATCAGAGATCATCACCACCTGAGCCAAAACCAAATCTGACTGAGCCACCCAGGCACCCCAGATGTCCCTTTAAATAGAAGATTAAAAATTCAGATATATGGCAATTTTGAATCTTATGTATGTAATCATCCTTAAAGAAAACCTTAAGTTTATAGCATGAAAAGAAACACAGATGACCTTTCAGTATGGTCTCTTTGTTGTTAGTCAAATATAGGCATTCTGTGTTGGCCCAGTTGATATTTAACAATGGCACTTAGGCCTAAATATGAATAGGTTTGATTTTCTGTTTTAGATGGATAGTTAAAATTACCTTTTGGGAGTGGTTTTGGAGAACATTGAGAATAAAGTTCATATATGCTAAGAATTGAATTTCTAGTGTTGACTTAATAGGTTCAGTGGTCCTGCAGATGGCAGTATTTATACTAATTTAAACCTAATATGTGGTATAACTTCTTTAACCAAATTAATTTTTGCATTGCTTCTTTTAACATTATGGAAAACAGAACCGTACATATGACTTAACTCAGCATGCTTTTATGATCTAGTGCTTTAGTTTCAGAGGTAGTTGAAAGTTTAGCTTTAATATTCTTTACTTAAAATGGTAATTAAGAAATTAAAGGCATTTTTGAAAAATTGGCAGTATTTTTGTGTGTGCGTGCGTGAACTTAGGTACATTATTTACAAACCCAGGGGTTTAATTTCAATTTTCATCTCTAAATTAAGTGAAATTTCTTTTCCTGTACTTTAGTGGGGAAAATAGTGTATTACTTTAAATTATTGGTACCCCCCCCAAAAAATAAAAAAAAAATAAATTATTGGTACCAAACTAGGTTAAGTATTTTCAACCAAAACAAATAGAAATTAAAACCTAATCCCCAAACCCCTTTTCTTCCTGCCTCCAGCCTTTTCCTTTAAAAGTTTTTTTCTATTTCACACTTAATTTTGGCTTTCTTCAATTAATCAGTCTTAGTTTTCCAGCTTTTCCTTTCATTCCCTTTTTATCACACTGTAATGCATCATGATGAGTCTTCATTCTTCTAAGAACTGTACGTAATTTCCATTCTTTGATAATAGTGCTACTCCTTTAGTTGGCTTAAATAATAGAGGTTTCTGAAATAATCAGCCCATGTAGTCATAAATGATACTAAAGGGGCTATATTTTTCTTCATATGTTAGCCTGCTTCCACATTGTTTCAAGCCTGTGACATTCCACAGAGCAGGCACTGAAAATGGATATTTGTCATTAGTTGAATGCTACCCTTCTTTTCATCTCTGCCCTTTTATTTGAAATATTTGCATTGGAATATTTGGATCCATCTCATGCCTTACTTCCTTTCTCTCACACCCTTCTTTGTCCTATCTTATTCTTTTTCTCCTTCTGCATGGTTATGCTCCATGCCTCAGCTTCTGCATGTAGTTCCCACTTAGCACAGAGAAAGTGTCTTGTCAGTGTCATGCTGCATCTGCCTTTCACTGGTATCTAAGCAACAGCAGCATGGGTTTGATGTCCTGTGGGAAAATGTCCCACACGAGAACTTGTTATATATATATTTAATGAAGGGGCTTCCCTTCATCGATTTTAAACTCTCAAGACTCCTTCAAGTATTATCACAGCTGGTTTGATAAAAAGGTAATTGATGCTATAATTTAGAATTAGTTATCATTGGATTTGGCACCACTTCCCACAAAATGTCAAACAAAAAAGAAATTTTACTCCATTCTTGGTCTTTTTCATTGGAAATTGCATTCTAAATTGTAGTGGTAAATTACTTCCCTGAATCCCAGTGGTAGCCGACATACCATGGCAGCTTTCCAACGTATGCTTGCTTATCCATTTTACAGGTGTAGCAATGATGCAAATAGTCAGCTGCCCGTATGTAAAGACAGTCGCTACCACCAAGACCGGTAATTTTTAAAACCATCTTAGTTTGTTTTGTCTGTAAGTTGGCATGGTAGTGAATGTTGTTGTTTATCCTTTTATTTATTTATTTTTGCCCAAGTGAGTGGATTTTTTTATATTTTTCTTTTTAATGAGCAGTATAAATGCAGTTGTCATATTTGGCCAACACTTAATTTTCCCAATTGCCTGTAGTATTAGCTTCTTTGGTTCACAAAAGCAAATAAGGTCAGATCACTTTATATCTTAATTTTTGTAATAAGTGTAAACAACTTCATTCTCATATTCATAACATTTAATTTTATTTTTGATGTGTGTTTTTAAGTTAAATATAAAAAAATCATTTCCATGTGTAAAGTGATGTGATTATGCTTGCATGCTAGTGAGTATATGTGTGTGAATATTTGTGTGTATAGTATAAACTTAAATTTTAAACTTCTTGAAGACAGCTACCTGAAACTTAAATTCTAGAATAGGATTTGAGGTTTTTTTTTTTTTTCAATTTGGATTCATATACCTTTAATTATTTATATAATGTCAGCTTGTTTAGCTGTCTGATTAAAAAAAATACTAAGCTTGGCTTATCTTTTAAAAAATAGAAACTGCCTTTTTTTTTTTTTTTTTTAAGGAAAAAAACCTAAACTGACAAAGAGTTAACAGGGACACCTGACTTAATCACTTAGTATATTAAAGTGGATTTGATAATAAACTCAGTCATTTACTTTAAAACTGAGAATTTTATTCATACCCTTTTAGGTACCTTAGAACTAGAAGATAATTTTGCCTCAGGAAATAGGCTCAGTAAATGTTTGTTGGCTTGATTTCATTAGAATTTGAGAGATTCTTTATAAAAATATATTTCTGTTCACATGTAGAGAATGTGTCATGATTTTTATAACTTACTGTTAGGACTTCATCATAACTTCGATCCAAATTTTTGACTATTCTTAAGGTACTTCTTGGGTTGAATTTCTGAAATCTAATTGGATTTAAATCTTAGACCTAAACCAGGGAAATAGCATTAAGTAATGAAATCACATTTTATATGATTTGTTGTTTTTGTTCCAACTGGCTCATTCATTTATTAATATTTAATGGAAGATATAGCTCATATTTTAAAGTTTTCATTTTGCATTGCAGTTTGATACTTGGACCTAACTTTGTATTCTTCTTCTTTTAGGTGTATTGCCAGGCATGGCCCCTCCTATCGTACCTATGATACACCCCCAGGTTGCTATTGCAGCTTCCCCTGCTACCTTAGCTGGAGCAACGGCAGTTTCTGAGTGGACTGAATATAAAACAGCAGATGGAAAGACATATTACTATAATAATAGAACATTAGAATCAACCTGGGAAAAACCCCAAGAGCTAAAGGAAAAAGGTACTGTTTTAATGACTTGTTGAGATATAGTAAAAGCCATGGTACTATAAATAGAATGCTGTTTGAAATTTTGAGTTAAATTCCTTTTTAACGCATTTTAAGAATTTGCTAATTCCATCGTTGTTGGATTATTTATTTCTACCAAACTGATAAATATGTATGAATTTAAAAAGCCAGTTCCACTTAGATGTTGGTCTATGATTTTTTTCCATCCAGAGAAATTAAATTATTTATCTGTACACATAATCTATTATTGCAGTTAGGAATTATGTAATTGTTCTCCTGTGTAATTACTGAGATTTTTGATATAAGGAAGAAATGTGTGTATAGCATGTGTTTCTGAAGAAAGAAATAGAGGCCCTTAGGGAGTCTTGGATGAAGAAAACTCATAATTTTCTGTATCGTAAGTTCCTGTTTCTAAGTCTCTTAGTATCTTATCCCTTTGAGCAAAATGAATCATTGCTACAAAGGATGCGTGAGTGACTTGAAAGACTTCCATGTCCCTCTGCAATCAGTGATTCTTCTCTAGTGACAGTTTCCTGATGGGATAGCAAGGTATTTCAACTTGACCATTACATTATATTGAAATTAATCATGATACAAAGAAGAACATTTTATCTTGGTGGTTAATAACTCCTGGTTACAGAGTATCTCCATTCTTTAGTCTCTGAAAGTTCTTGGAAAATTATAACAAAAACCATTGAGTGACATTGTCTTAACTTTGTAATAGAAAAATTGGAGGAGAAGATTAAAGAGCCAATTAAAGAACCTTCTGAAGAACCTCTGCCAATGGAGACGGAGGAGGAGGACCCTAAGGAAGAGCCTATAAAGGAGATAAAGGAGGTAAAGGGCCACGACCGGTTAACTTGGAAGCTAGCATTGATTATTGTCTACAATTTAGTTGTAATTGAAAACTCATCTGATACAGTTTTAGATAATTGTTAATGGTCTGACTTCTGAAATTTTAAGGTTCTTTGAAGTTGGTAATTCAATTTTTCCTTTAAAAGTTTCATTAAATTACTTCTTAGAGTAAATCAAGGCCCCTAGAAAGAAAGGGCCTTGGACCAAGGCATGGACCCAATTCCGGCCTCCTGATGTATAGACTGGCACATGGTAAAAATTAGAAGTACAATTTTTTTTTAAAAAAAGGTTTTATTTATTTATTCATGAGAGACACAGAGAGAGAGAGGCAGAGAGATAGGCAGAGGGAGAAGCAGGCTCCCTGCGGGAAGCTGGATGTGAGACTCGATCCCAGGACTCTAGGATCACGACCTCAGCCAAAGGCAGACAGACGCTCAACTACTGAGCCACCCAGGCATCCCATAAATACAATTTTATATATTTGGGGAATGTTACATTTTATTGGTCTTCTCCTGACATTGGAATGATCTCTAACAGCACTATAAGAGCTCTGCTTTTTGGAAGCTTCCTTTTATTCAGTGAGAGACTAATGATAGTCATGTTTTATTAGTAAGGAAGTTATTAGCAGGAGAAAGAAGGAACCTTAAGTGAAGAGGTCTCATCTAGTTTTCTATCCTAAGTTCTCTAGTTCTGTTCCTAAGCAGATAGTTAGTGAATCTGTAAGATAGGACCATCTGCTGTTGCTGGAGTCTGCTGTTGTAGAATTTGGCTCTGTCTAGGGAGCAAAGTTTTAGAACTTTCTTAGAAGTCCCTACTCACAGTCTGTCCTCACTATGCTAGCAACAGGCCTGATGTTGGTTGTACTTTGAGGTATTTGCAGTATTACTTGTATTTGTGTGAGATTCAGGTATAGTTTTGTGATACTAATTAAATGGGAGTAACCTCATTTCCCTTAGGAGCCCAAAGAGGAAGAGATGACTGAAGAAGAAAAGGCTGCCCAGAAGGCAAAGCCAGTAGCTACTACCCCCATTCCTGGTACTCCATGGTATGTACTTGGCTCAGTTAGTAAGTTACTTTATTTCATTCTTTGATAATTTATTGCCTTATTTGATAAACGGTTTATCATATAGAATGAAACATGCTTTAAAAAATACATACCAAGTAGATATTTTTATCTGGTGAATATTTTGGTTCTTGTTTCTTGTATTTTGGGTGTTCAGACCAAAAACTCAATTGTCTTTCTCCTTTCATTGTAACTGTCTCTTAATTTTTATTGTGCACAATTATAGACTTGAACCACTGTGAGATCCTGAATCTAGTTTTTATTGTGTAAAATAAGTTTTTAAAATTAGTTTAGGGGCAGCCTGGGTGGCTCAGTGGTTTAGCTCTGCCTTCAGCCCAAGGCGTGATTCTGGAGACCCAGGATTGAGTCCCGTGTCAGGCTTCCTGCATGGAGCCCGTTTCTCCCTCTGCCTGTGTCTCTGCCCCCCCCCCCCATGTCTCTCGTGAATAAATAAATAAAATCTTTAAAAAATAAAATTAATTTGGTATATATGCCTACAAAGATGATTACACTTACAGAACTGTGTAAAAATTTTTTTAATTTAAGTGTTTTTCTTTTCTGCTTTGGTTTTCTTTTCTTTCTTTTTTTTCTTTTTTCTCTCTTTTCTTTTCTTTTTTCTTAAAAATTTGTTCATGAGAGACACATAGAGAAAGAGGCAGAGACATAGGCAGAGGGAGAAGCGCAGGTATCCTGCGGGGAGCCCGATGTGGGACTTAAATCCCAGCACTCCAGGATCACACCCTGAGCCGGAGGCCCATGCTCAACCACTGAACCACCCAGGCATCCCTCATTTTTCCTTTTCTTATTCTTCCTGAGTCAGTGCTCTGTCCTGGTCCTGCTGCAGCCCATTTAATCCGTGTACAGTCCACACATTACATAGAGTTGTTCCAGATGTCTTGTAATCTATAGATTCCCCTCCATTGTGTTTTCATTGCATCTTTCCTGTTTTTGGTATTTAAAAAATAAATGTTGGTTACATGGAGACTCAAAATCTGAATGTTACTATTGCATCCCAGTGATACTGTTTCAGTCTTCTATTCCTGAATTTCCTGCAAACTTGCAAGTGTATGCAGATACCTGGTCAGATTCTCATCAGATTTTTAGCAAGACTAATTCATACGTGGACGTTTGGCAGGGTTGGGGGACATTTTTGGTTGTCATAACTTGGAAGGGGTTAATAGCATGTAGTATCTAGTTGTTAGAGGGTAGGGATGCTCCTAAACATCCTACTATGTACAAGAGATCTCCCTACAAGAATTATTTGGCCCAAAATGTCAGTAGTCCTGAGGTTTTCACAGTAATGAGTTGGTTTGGGTATTATAGATTCATAGATTTAAATACATGTTCTTTGCTTCTCTCCAGGATAGTTATTATGCTTACCAAAGTTCACCTGTTTCATCTTGGGCTACGTGAAGCCTCTTAAGATTGACTCCGGGGTTTTTTGTTGCAACCCTGTTCTTTGATACCTACCTTGTTTTCTACTCTGACAAAGATGTTTCTGGCTGTCTCATGTATTTCCTGCACCAGACCTAGATTTGGCCATTTTGCTACGGAGCCTGGTTTCTTTTCCTGGGATGTGGCATTTATAGGATCTAGGGATAGTTGTTATTACTGAATGTCATTTTTTTTTAGACCTCTTTGCTAGACAGATTGAAGATGCACACATTTAAAGACATATCATGAGTTCATATAATTATTTGCAGTTGAGGTTTACTATAAGGTTTTTACTGAACCTCATCATCTAGTTTAAACTCAGTATCGCATTTCTTGCTGAAAATCCTCTTGCTAAGCAATAGCAACATAATTATTTATTTGCTTTTCTCACACACAAGTCACAGAATTACAGTACTAACACTGTCGCTTTTACAGTGTGATACTGAAAACCATTTTTAACTCCTCCCCCACCCCCATTACATTTATGTTCAGGGAATCTTACTCGAGGGGTTCATCACAGATTATTCTGTTTTAAAGTCATTTGGAATAATTGTTTTCTGTATATTTCATTCTACCAACTTGATGCAAAGCCTCATTTTAAAAAATAAAATATTTACAAAATATTTACCACAATTGAAGTTATTAAAATAGTCCGTTCAAAGAATATGTTCCTAGATTATGGTTTCTGCGTTTGTACGTGAAAAGTTGGTAACCAACTCTGAATCTCACCAGTCTGCAACTTCATGGGCCCTCAACAGTTTTCAGATTTGGGTCTGTCCTCAGATTGGTGGAATTTTTCTTTTGGAATTTATTTAATTATTGCTTCTCTTTATCTGTTTTTCCTTTTCTGGAACATTTGTTATTTGCCTGTCACATCTTTTATGTTATCCTCGAAACCTCTTTTTTCTGTATGTTTTATTTTTTTCTGTATGTTTTATATCTATAGTTTTTGTGTCCTGCTTTGAGTTGTTTTCTCATTGATTTGATATTATTAGAAAAGAATACGTGAATCCATAAATACATACATTATGAAAGAATTACATGGAAAAAATTACAGAATTCCACTTTCATCTAGCCTCTTCATTAATAAAAGTTTGGGTACATATGCTTTCTAGACCCTTTGCTATGTTTTATGTACATGTATACAGGATTTATGTGTGGTGGACATGCGTGTTTATAGTGTCTTAAAAACAGTATTCCTGTTTTTTTTTTTTTACTAAATATGTCTCAAATTTTGCTATTTATATATAAATCTATTTGTGATAGCATAGTTTTCTGTAAACGCATAATTTTTCTATAATGAGTTGATTAGGTTGTCCCCCACCCCTCCCCCGCTCTCCCCCATTAACAAAAGTTGCTGTTGCTGTTTAGGACATCCTTAATACATATTTCTTTGTGAACACATTCAGATATTACTGTTGAATTGATTTTTAGAGGTGAAGTTACTGAATCAAATGATTCTGTTATTTAATATTTGGTAGATACTGCTAAGTTAACCTCAGAAAGGTTTTGGCAGTTGGGGGGAGGGAACAAGGCAGGCTGGACTTAGCCAGTTAATATTCTCGGCAATAGCCTGGTAGTACCAATGTTTTCTCCCTCTTATAGTGTGGGCATATTCTGTTTACATCTTGGGTAACCTGTTAAGAAAAAGAATCCTGTTACATTTTCCAGATTGAATTACTGGTGTAATTCAATTTATTTCATGTTGATTGGCCGTGGATTGCTTCCTTCACAGTTTTCCTTGTCCTTTTTATGGACTTGTTTTTTTCTTAATAATAGGGGAGAGCCTTTTTTTTTTTTTTTAGATTGTATTTATTTATTTGAGAGAGCTTAAGTGGTGGGGGTGGGGGAAAGAGACAGGCAGAGGGACAGCAGACTCCCTCTTGAGCGTAGAGCCTGTTGTGGGGCTAAATCCCAGGATCTTGAGATCATGATTTGAGCTGAAGTTAGACACTTAACCTACTAAGCCACCCAAGTGCCCCAGAAAAGATCTTTTCATGCATGCTATTAACTCATTTGATTTTTACATACATTACAGTTTCTCCCTACCTGTTGATTTTCCTTTTAATGTCTTGTCATACATAGATTTTGTATTTCAGTGAGATCATATTTATTGATACCCTAGGGAATATTCCCCCTTGCTGCAACTCTGTGTTCCTAGTGCTTATACAGCCCATCTGCATACATGTAAGACAACTGCTTATCTAAATTATTTTCCAAGTCTGTCAGTGAAAAATGTATTGTCAGTAGAACTTTAATTCCTTAATTATTTCCTATTTCTTGTAAAATGGGTAAATGCTAAACAAATTATTAAGGGTGTGCTTGGTTGGCTCAGTCAGTGGAGCATAGGACTCTTGATCTCAGGATTATAAATTTTAGCCCCGTGTTGGGTATAGAGATTACTTAAAATCTCTTTTTTTTCCTTAAACTTTTTCAAAGATTCTATCTATCTATCTATCTATCTATCTATCTATCTATCTATCTATCTATGTATGTATGTATGTATTTATATGAGACAGAGAAAGAGAGGCAGAGACACAGGCAGAGGGAGAAGCAGGCTACATGCAGGGAGCCTGATGTGGGACTCGATCCCAGGACTCCAGGATCATGCCCTGGGCCAAAGGCAGGCGCTAAACCGCTGAGCCACCCAGGGATCCCCAAAAGATTACTTAAACTCTTAAAAACCAACAACAAATTATTTAGCTAAGCAGGCTATGCCACTTCATTTGGATAATCAGATTTTTATTAGTCTTTGTATTGCTTGATATCTTCAGATGTTGATCTTGAAGTAACGGTTTCTTCAGAGTTAAGCTAGATGTGAAACATGAAGTTTCATATTCCTTACTGATACTGGTATGTTTTACCTAGTATTTCACAACATTAGACTCTTTGTTTTAAAGAAGATCAAAATTAGAAGCATTTTGTATTCCTTAGGGTCAGTAAGCTTTAGTTTCTGGTCCAAGTGGGTTTTTAATGTTTTGACAAAAATTTTTAAAGCTTATGGACTAATTGTAATTTTTTCCATTGCTTCTTGAGATTGCGTCATATGGCTTTAGCTTGCAGTTACTTGTACAGTGTCCTGCAGAGTGCATAGTGAGGGCTGCCTATATTTGCTGTGCTTTCCTTGTGTGTAGTCTGTGTTGGGTTTTAACTTAGGAAAATTGATCTTTCAAGTTTTACTTGGTATTGCATGTACAGAGAGTAGCACAAGGCCACTAGCTCTTGCGTTTCATAGGTTTTTGTTGTTATTCCCAGGGCTTTTTACTCCAGTATTTTATTATGAAAAAATTGAAACCTACAGAAACATTGGAAGCATGTTTCCGGAACAGTGAGCACCGTATATTGACTTAGCTTCTACAATTAACATTTTATCATATTTATCATTTACTTACCATCCCTCATCCCTCATGAATCTGCCAATCATAGCTATTTATTTGATAGGTTAAAAGTCATAGATATTAGTACACTTCACGCCTAAACATTTTATCATGCATTTTATTAGCACAGGGCAGTTTTTAAATAAGAATTCTTTTTTTTTTTTTTAAGATTTTATTTATTCATGATAGTCACACAGAGGCAGAGACATAGGCAGAGGGAGAAGCAGGCTCCATGCAGGGAGCCCGACGTGGGATTCGATCCTGGGTCTCCAGGATCACGCCTTGGGCCAAAGGCAGGTGCCAAACTGCTGCGCCACCCAGGGATCCCTTAAATAAGAATTCTTTGTCCATAATCTTTGTTAATTCTGAAATGTCCTGACAGCTTCTTACTCCACATTTTTTTTTTAAAGATTTTATTTATTTATTCAGGAGGGACACACACAAGAGAGAGAGAAGCAGAGACACACACAGGCAGAGGGAGAAGCAGGCCCCATGCAAGGAGCCCAATGGTGGGATTCGATCACGGGACTCCAGGATCACATTCTGGGCCGAAGGCAGGCGCTAAGCTGCTGAGCCACACAGGCGTCCCTCACTACGAATTTATCGTTAGTACTGATGGAGCTGTATTAGCACATGTTTTGAAGTTAAAATGAATTAGTAAAATACTATATCTTAAAGTTGTTACTGTTGTTAATATTAAACAGTGTTTTAGAAACCAGCATAGAAAATTTAGGGTTAGGTTTTTCCCCCCAATACAGTTAACCATCTAATGAGATGGCTTCAGTATCTCAGGATTATTATTTTTTGAAGATTTTATTTTTAAGTAATCTCTACACCCAACATGAGGCTCATACTCATAACCCTAAGGTCAAGAGTCACATGCTCTCCTGACTGAGTCAACCAGGCATCCCTCTCAGGATTATTCTAATGTAACCTATAACACTCGTCTCCACATCTGCTTTTATATTTATGTTTTTAAAGATTATTTATTTATTTGAGAGAGTGAGGGAGCACATGCATATGAGCATGAACAGCAGGGACAGAGGGGGGAGGGAGAGAGATTTCCAAGTAGACTCCATGCTGAGTGTAGAACTGGACGTGGGGCTCAGTCTCACCACCCCAAGAACATGACCTGAGCTGAAACCAAGAGTCAGATGATTAACTGTGCCCACCCACGTGGCCCCCACACCTGCTTTTAAAATTAATTATAGAGTAAAAAAAAGTTTTGTTTTCCCTAGGATCAGTGAACTTTGGTTTTCTGTTAGATTCCATAACAAAAAAAATGTATCTAGTCCATTTCCACAAAAGATTTTGATTTAGTAGTACATTATACATTTTCTCATTAAAAAAAAAAGGATTTTATTTTTAAGTAATCTCTACACCTAGCATGGAGCTCAGACTTAGAACTCTGAGATCAAGAGTCACATACTTTTCTGACTGAGCCAGCCAGGAACCCCTGTTTCCTAATTTTTCTGTGTTACCAAGTACCGTTGAAGTACAATGAGCTGAAATATTTAAAGTTCATTTCTACAATTGACATAATTTCCAATAACCCCGAAAGTTTTCTTGTGTCTCTTTGTTGTCCTTCCCTCTAATCCAAACCCTAAGGATCCTTCTGCTTTCTGTTATTTTAGGTTGCTTTGTATTTTCTAGAATGTTATGTCAGGAATCATTTAGTATATACTTCTTTTTTGTTTAGCTGCTTCTTAAAAATATGACATTGAGATAATTCATACATCATACAGTTGACTTATTTAAAGCATACAACTCCATGATTTATAATTATTCACAGAGTTGTGCAACCATTACCATATCTAATTTTAGAACAGTTTCATTAGCCATTTTCAGTTTCCCCCCTCCTAGAACTTTAAAAGGTGTTGTTTTACTGTGTTCTTGCCTCTATGGTTTCTGGTAAGGAGTCCATGGTCATTGAACTTGTTTCCCTGTCAGTAGTGTGCCATAGTTTAGAAAACGGCCTAGAAAAGTTAGGGTAGCCCCCCCCCCCCCCAGTAAAGTTAAACATCTGCATAAATGACATTGACAGAAGGCATTTTTTTGTTTTTTTTTTTCCTTTTTTTTAAATTGGAATTTGATTTGCCAACATATAGTATAATACCCAGTGCTCATCCCATCAAGTGCCCCCCTCAGTGCCCATCACCCAGCCACCCCATCCCCCTGCCCACCCTCCCCTTTCATCACCCCTTGTTTGTTTCCCAGTTAGGAGTCTCTCATGTTTTGTCACTCTCTGATTTTTCCCACTCATTTTCTCTCCTTTCCCCTATAATCCCTTTCACTATTTTTTATATTCCCTGTATGAGTGAAACCATATGATTGTCCTTCTCCGATTGACTTACTTCACTCAGCATAATACCCTCCAGTTCTATCCATGTCGAAGCAAATGGTGGGTATTAGTCGTTTCTAATGGCTGAGGAATATTCCATTATATATATAGACCGCATCTTCTTTATTCATTAATCTTTCGATGGTCACCGAGGCTCCTTCCACAGTTTGGCTATTGTGGACATTGTTGCTATAAACATTGGGGTGCAGGTGTTTTGACTTTTCACTGCATCTGTATCTTTGGGGTAAATACCCAGTAGTGCAATTGCTCGGTCGTAGGGTAAACTCTAAGGAACCTCCACACAGTTTTCCAGAGTGGCTGTACCAGTTCACATTCCCACGAACAGTACAAGAGGGTTCCCAGAAAGCATTTTTCTGTAGTTCTTTTTTTTTTTTTTTTTTTTTATTTATTTATGATAGTCACATAGAATGAGAGAGAGAGAGGCAGAGACACAGGCAGAGGGAGAAGCAGGCTCCCTGCACCGGGAGCCCGACGTGGGATTCGATCCCGGGTCTCCAGGATCGCGCCCTGGGCCAAAGGCAGGCGCTAAACCGCTGCGCCACCCAGGGATCCCTCTGTAGTTCTTTAGCTTCCTGAAAGCATATTCTTTTTTTCCTCTCTTTGTTCTTTGGGTGAAATAATTATTGATCTACTTTCTAGTTTACTTATCATTTCCTGTCATCTCCATTCTGTTTTTGAGCCAATCCAAAGAAATTTAATTTCAGTTGTGTATTTTTCTTTTTAATTGTTAAATTTTAATTCTTAAATAGTTAATAGGCAGTGTTATATTGGTTTCAAGTGTGCAATAGAGTGATCCAGAGCTTCCATACAATACTTGGTGCTCATAACAAGTGTACTCCTTAATCCCTATCCCCTGCCCCACCCTCTGGTAACCATCAGGTTGTTCTCTGTGGTTGAGTTTGTTTCTTGGCTTGTCTCTTTCTCGTTTCCTTTGCTTAACTTGTGTGTTTTTCATCTCTAAATGTTTTAGAAATGAAACTTGAACTTTTGAACTATGAGTTTTCAAGGTTTTTGTTTTTTGTTTTTTTTTCCTTCATCTCATGAACTCTAGTTATAATTACTGCTTTAAAAGTCTTTGATTGCGGGGCAGCCCGGGTGGCTCAGCGGTTTAGCGCCATCTTGGGCCTGGGGCATGATCCTGGAGTCCCAGGATTGAGTCCCACATGGGGCTCCCTGCATGGAGCCTGTTTCTCCCTCTGCCTGTGTCTCTGCCTCCCTCTATCTGTGTCTCTTATGAATAAATAAATAAAATCTTTAAAAAAAAGTCTTTATCTCAGCAGAGAGGTTTATCTGATATTTTCAGCATCTAGATCAGCTTGGCTTGGCAGCTGTTGAGCTACTGGTGATAAATACCTGGTTTCTGTTGGGAGTTTTTCCTGCCTGTGCTGCTGCCACCGTGGTACTGTGTGACTGGGGCCCCTCAGGGCAGAGCTTTGAGGGAGGAAAAATGGGAAATTTATGCCCTCACAGTTGCTGTCATAAATAGTGTCTTTCTTTCTTTCTTTCTTTTTTTTAATAGTGTCTTTCTTCTGTACTTATTTTTTAAAAACTATATACAGTCCTTATATTCTTGTTTTTTCTGTTTTGTCTGAACTTCATGTAATTAACAGGAATAGTGAGTTATAGTGGGCTCTGGTGTCATAGTGCAATCAGTATTTCTTATTTTTTAGGCCAGATATAGTAAGGTACTAAAGACCTCATAGTAGTTTGCATTTGAGTATGTAAAATTCTGATTTGGTAAGAAATATTAAGAGATACTACATAATAGGTATTGTGCAATGATCTGTTCTTTAGTTTCTGAACAGCTTAATATACCATTCTTACTTGTTGTCATTAAATTTATTCTTTATGATAGGTTCAGGTGTTGCACAGTTCAATGTTGGACTGCTGTTGTAACCTTAGCCAGTCAGCTCTCCCCTTCAGAAATCATCTTCGGCTCTATAACTATTATGAAATATGAAGGTGTCCTCCCTGCCTCCCCTCCCCTCCCCCTTTAGGCAGGATGACAGTAAAAGACTTACATCTATCACATATGTTCCATAACGTAAGAAACCTGATATGTGAATCAATTTGTAGGTGTGTTGTTTGGACTGGTGATGAGCGGGTCTTCTTTTATAATCCTACCACCCGTCTTTCTATGTGGGACCGACCCGATGATCTGATTGGAAGGGCAGATGTTGACAAAATTATTCAGGAGCCTCCTCATAAAAAAGGAATGGAAGAAGTGAAGAAACTAAGTAAGTTTTAAATTAAGAATTTATCCTCTAATTTTATCATTCTTTTAATATTTTTATAGAAAATATGAAGCCATTTAGGAAAACTTGCTATTTTCAAGGAATATAAGTAATTTAATAAATGGGAAATAGACTGCTATGCTAGTTTGAACTCAGTAGTAGAGATACTAAAATATAGAGAGTTTGGACAACTGTTTTTTATAAAATATTTATATGTATATTTTTTTGACTTTATTAAGATTTTTAGTCCAAAATATATTGGTTCTGCTATGGTTTGTTTGCTTAATAATACTAAAATATTGCTCAGTTGAGCCATTTAGCACTTTGTAACCAGTAATATATTTTTTGAAATAATTAGAACTTTACAGAGTATTTTAAAAATACTTACTAAAGTTCTACAAAATACAAAATTTTATAAGAATATAAAAGCATACTCTTTTAAAGATTTATTTTTATTAGCAAGCTCGTGAGGAGGTGGAGTGGGAGAGAGAAAAAAATCCTAAGCAGACTCCCCACTGAGTGCAGAGCCCAGCTATGACCCTGAGATCATGACCTGAGCTGAAATCAAGAGTCAGATGCTTAACTGACGGTGCCACAAAGGTGCCCCAAAAGCTTACTCTTTTCAAGTAGATGAAATTTAGGGAAAGTAAGTCTTACTCTTGATAATACAGGGACAAAGTTTATTAAGAGATTGTCTTTTAAGGTGTGGAAAGCATTTCACTATATATGACACAGATATTTTTACATCATTTTTATTGCATATTTATCGGTAATTTGCCCTTATATTGACATAATTGTATTTTTATAGGACTCCTCCATCTGCCGTAGAAGCATAAATGAATCCCCTTATACTTCCAATGTAATAAATCCTAATGTATGTCATTCATAATAATTGAGAAATCTTCATGTGTTATATATATATGTGGTGCTACATTTTTGTTTACAAGTCCTTTCTAAATCAGTGAAGCTTTGCCTGCCTGTGCTAAGGATGCTGGGCACCACTTTTTCCCTTCAGCAGTATTCTATTTTATAGCTGTGATACATGACACTATATAACCCTAGTGTTGAACCATGCCAAGGAGGTGTGAGGTTTGCTTTTTTTTTGAATGTTTTTTTTAAATATTTATTTATTTATTATTTATGATAGAGAGAGAGAGAGAGGCAGAGACATAGGAGGAGGGAGAAGCAGGCTCCATGCCAGGAGCCCGACGTGGGACTCGATCCCAGGACTCCAGGATCGTGCCCTGGGCCAAAGGCAGGCGCTAAACCACTGAGCCACCCAGGGATCCCCTATTTTTTTTAATGTTTTCAGATATTTAATTCAGTTATTTGATAAGTACATGTCTCATGAATAAACTTTACAAAGTGAATTCGAAATTTAATGTAAAGGGAAGATAAATTTAGGAAGTACAGAATTGTGTAATCTTTTATAAAGGAGCGTATTATAGGGTGGATATTTTTATATAAATAGTAATTTTTTAAAAGAAAAGATTGTGTAATATGTGCATGTAACTTCATAATAATATTTGTTATGTTTTTGCCAGGACACCCAACCCCTACAATGCTGTCCATCCAAAAGTGGCAGTTTTCTATGAGTGCAAGTGAGTAAACTCTTAAATTGTAGCTATTTTTAATACTATTAAAGCAAGTATTCTGGTAGTGGCTAACGGAAGGATTCAGACTTAAATGTTTTAACTGTTGCTTGCTTATTTTTTATTCTGGCGAAATTTAATTAAATTTGATCTTACAGTTAAAGAGGAACAAGAATTAATGGAAGAACTTAATGAAGATGAACCAGTTAAGGCCAAAAAACGGAAGTAAGTAATACTCACAGTTCATGTAATTCAGGTAGATAATACGTATTTTAAAAGTTGGTTAGGTCACAGTCAGTTTGTGGTCGGGACAGGTAATGTGTATGTTGTTAGGAGACAGAAGTCATGATTGCTCTGTAAGACCTGATACTATAAAACTTTGCTTTAGAATGTAGAAATGGTGTCCCTTTTATTGCTAGATTTTCAGAATATTTGATTACTTAAATATGTATTATAAAGCTAAGTGACATTTTAGGAATAGTTGCGAAATTACTTTCAGACATTCATTAAGCCTAAATTTTACAACAAATCTCCTCCTTACTAGTAGAACCCAACAGAGACCATTCCAGAAATTTCAGACGCACAGACTTCTCTCTCTTTTTATGTACTTGTCACTTAGCTAGTCCTTGGGTCTGTGTCATTACTGCGTGGTGAAGAGGGAACCTGTGAGTTTAGAAAATGCTTTGGGGGAAAGAGATTGCCATACATGGGAGCATTTAGGTTGGCCAGTGCTGTGTAGTTGGTTAAAATTGTAATGTTTCTAATTATGGGGGGTGAAAGGCTGGGGTAGAGGGTATTTGTGTGTTGGGGGGGTGGGGAATGGGACCATTATTTAGCAGCAAAAAGGAAAGTTTGAAGACATTATTAGGAACTGGATGAACTGTAGTCCTTATCTAAAAAGGACAGATTGAATGCAGCCAAATTATGGCAAAAAAATCAGTAAGACAACCCCTTGGAAGGGTGGTTCTTTAAAAAAAAATCATTTAGCAACAACATTAAGAAATTAAGTTATTAAAGAGCATCACTCATAATCAACCAAAGTAATATAGCTGTTTTCATTTTTGCAGTTGACTTTTTAGTTCTTGACCAAATACGTAAATATTTTTATTAGTTGTAATCAACTGATTTTGTGTTCTTGAAAAAAAAATCTAGAATAAGATGTTTGTTTTCTTAATCATTATAAATGACTGTATTCATTCTGTTTATATAATCATAATTTTGGATGTTCCTACAATGTTAAACTTTTAGGTTGTTTTTAATTGTTTGTTCTTATAGACAACTCTGTAAGGTTTTTAACTGCTTTTATCAGGAGAATGTCAAAGAAGTCCTTTATGTGGATTGCCCGAGCTTCTCTATTTAGGTACAAAGTTAAAAGCCTATTTTTCCTGGCTTAGTTTTTCTTTATTTCTTTTATTGAGCTAGATAGTGATAGTTTGTATTGTGACATTTCCATTTAGTGTAATTCTGTAAAGGTTATTTGTTTTCATTAGTTATATTTCTTGGATGTCTTTTAATTCTTTATTTAAATAGTTCTTAAATAAATTATTATAAGAGGGTATATTGTTTGGCAAATTACTTTTACCTGTTTGTTTTGTGCATATCTTAGGTCACAGACTATCTCGCTAAGTTCCTGCAGGTCACGGACTATGTCTTCTATTTCTTTTGATTCATTCCCTAAGTTGCTAATAATCTCTCACTTAATATATTTGTGGGTCAGCCTTAGTTCCATTTAAATCTCCTGGGCTACCTTCACTTCCCTATATAGTATGCTTTTGAAATTGATGATGTTTTTTGTCTTCCTAATTCCCTTAAGTTTGTGGAGGGCATGTGAGCCAATTTTATTTTTATACTTAGCAGATCATATTTAAGAAGGAAGATCTGCTCAGACACACCCTTAACTTAACCTTAACTGAATCACTTACTGTTTTGGATTATTCACATGAATGGGCCTTCTTCATAGTGCAGATGTTTGAGAGGTGACTCCATTTCATGTTTACAATCTCCCTTGAGTGAGAGCAATAGCAACAGGGTTGTCCTTAGCACTCAGGTGCATTTTTGGAGGAAAAAGAAGTAGTTTAGTCATTGATGAACAATTCTAATTCCATCTAACTACTCCTGGGCCTATGTTGCTCTCTGGGACCTGTCCTTCAACTTAAATCTCAACTTACCACCCAGAAAGTGAGTAAAAAAGATGTCAGGTAGGTAAGGTATATATCTCACGTATCCACTTGGCCAAGTTTGCAGATATTTTCATTGTATTTTCAAAATGAATATTTTAGATTACTAAGACTTATACCAATTTTTATTAGATTAAAAAATATTTTATGCATCTATAATGTAAAACATTTTGGAAAATACTGTTTTTCCTATATCATTTCAAGAACTAAAATTATATTTTGTGCTGTTTGTTTCTAACACATAGAGTCTTACTGCAATGTTAGTTTTTTGTTTTTGTTTTCAAAAGTAAGGTAGTTCATTCTGTGTATCAGAGGGAGAGACAGCACAACAATATAGCCATTGTAACATCGTTAGAAGCTCATTGTAACTTTATTATTATTATTATAATGAAAGTTGCTTATCCCTTAGATTTCATTTGAAACCCTCAATATAATTTTTTTTTGCCAAAAATATGCTGCTCAGTAGTGAGTCTTGAATATTCCATTGATTTAAAGATTTTAGTAAGATTCCTTATTAATATATTGTCAGTTGATGCTTTATATTTTATTTTTTTATAGGAGAGACGATAATAAAGACATTGATTCAGAGAAAGAAGCTGCCATGGAAGCTGAAATTAAAGCTGCCCGAGAAAGGGCCATTGTCCCTCTGGAGGCCCGAATGAAGCAGTTCAAGGACATGCTGCTAGAGAGAGGGGTCAGAAAACAATCTTTGGGGGAGATATTTCTGTTTTGTATAAGTAATATAAATATGTCTTGCTAAAAGGTCAAATCTAAGGTTAGTGCTCATGTTGTGGGGGGGGATAAGGGAAGCCTATCAAATTACTGTACTCAAAGGGCCTTTTTCTTGGCTCATCATATCATGTTTAACTAAATGCCATTTTACTATCCTTTTAAATACAAATAACATTTAATATGTATTGGGTCATTACATTTTGGTGAGTAATATAAGATGCGTATTAACAGAGTATTAACATTACAGAGTGGCGGACTACGTGGGATAGGTAAGGTATAAATGACTCTTTAATATTTTCACAATGGCTTTTGGTTAAAGGAGAACTGGTACTTACTGATATTATTAATAAAGTTTAATTGAGAGAGGGTTTCAACCTTTTGGTTATATTCACAGATTCATTTGAGTAAGTATAATTGTTGAATTTAAAATCACAACTGTTCAAAAGATTGGAGCAAGCATGGAAAATCAAAATGCAAATCTTCAAGGCTTTTTCTGATGTACTGATTTTTAAAATGTCACACAGTAGTGGTTATTTTAATGAGTAATTAAGTGTGTGTTATTTCTATATAATATAGAAATGTTCAGAGCCAATTAGTGTGGAAATTTGCTCTTGCTAGCCTCCCACTGCTTGTCATTTATTAGTGATGGAAACTTCAGTATGGTTTTTATTATGTCTCCTTTTTAAGCAGATGTCCTGTAGATTTCAAGGAAAATTATATGACCTTTATGTTTTTAGAGCCAACTTAATTATGAAGCAATACATTTTTATTTTAAAGGTGTCTGCTTTTTCAACATGGGAGAAGGAGTTGCACAAGATAGTTTTTGATCCTCGGTACTTACTTCTCAATCCTAAAGAGAGAAAACAGGTAAAAGGAAAATAACATTTAAGAAATGTATCTCCCTTTGCAGCATAATTTTTACAACATAAAGAATAAACCAGCATCCTCCTCTCCCCTAACACAGTACTTTAAAAACATAGTCTTAAACCTTAGAACACAGTGATCTTCTATGTGGACATTTCTACCTCAGAAATATTTGGATAGTTTTGCCTTTATTGTGGCTGTTGCTACTGCTTCATGAGCATTTTGTCTTTATGCCTTGTACACACTGAGGTTATATTTAAGAAGTTTTCAAAATTCATTTCAAATGTGCTTTTTAATTTACTTTTTCTTCGGCAAATGATGGCAAATTGAGAGTAGAAAAAAATGTCAAAATAGAGATGAGTAGAAAGGAAAAAGAAACACATGCAATCCTACCCAACTGATGGGATCATGACTGAATACTGGTGTTATAACCTTCATGACTATTAGTGCCAATATATGTGTGTGAATGTGTGTGTGTTGCATATAGGCAATATTCAAAGGCACGTTTACGTTTCATGTGCACATTCTACATCAAAGTGGCAGCTGTTAAAATGTCTTTTCATTATACGCTTAAAGAATTGATGGACACTTGAGGGTCTCTGCTGAACTAGAGTTAACACCAATTAGAGTTGCCTGGTTATTGAGTTGCCATTGATTCCCATGATGACTCAGTGATACATATCCTCTCATAGTGATTGCTTCTTCCTCTAAAGCATTGCACACTTCTAACTTAAATAGCTTCTGAATTACCTGGACCACCCTGACACTGATCTCTGTAGAATGGTGAGTATGTTGAACCACTTGCTATAGGACTTTTGGGCTACAAGATTTCATTTGGTAGTCTGTTCTATTATATATTGATAATTTAACGGTTGGAATAATTCTCTACACTGCTTGTACCATTATGCATGTAGGTGTCATCACAAACTTTTTATGAAGAGAGGACATTTATAGTGTGCCAGACCTGTATTTTAGTAGGTGTAATAGAAAAGCATGACTTCCCAGATAACATTTGCATCTGCATTTCAAACGCAGTAGGGCTTTTTTGTGTTTGTTGTTATTTGTTTTAAACTGTGTAATGGTTACATTCTCACCTGGGGTGATGGCCCTATCAAAAAGTATAAATCAGCCTTGATTTTTTACTTCTCTCCACTGTACATTTCAAGTCTGTCAGCAAAATCTACCTCCAAAAGCTTGTAAATACAACTTTTTATTCACCATTTCCCCCACTATCACTGTATTTCAAGCACCGTGACCATTTCTTGGTATCTCTGTAGCCTCTGACTGATCTCTGCTTCTTCCATTCTTGCTTTTTTTTTCAAAGTTTGTTTTATTTGTTTGTTTGTTTATATTATTTATTTATTTATTTATTTATTTATTTATTTATTTATTTATTTATTTAAGACACAGAGAGGCAGAGACATAGGCAGAGGGAGAAACAGGCTCCCTGCAGGAAACCTAATGCAGGACTCAATCCCAGGACCCTGGGACCATGCCCTGAGCCAAAGGCAGATGCTCAACCACTGAGCGACCCAAGCCCCCCATTTTTGCTTTTTCTGTTGTCAAGTTCTTTTTTTTTTTTTTAAGATATTATTTATTTATTCATGAGAGACAGAGAAGCAGAGACATAGGCAGAGTGAGAAGCAGGCTCCATGCAAGGAGCCCGATGTGGGATTCAAACCCGGGAATCCGGGATCACGCTCTGAGCCAAAGGCAGACACTCAACCCCTGAGCCCCTCAGGCATCCCTGTTGTCAAGTTCTTTTTCCACACAGCAGCCAGATTCATTTTAAAGTTTAAGTGACAGGGCAGCCCGGGTGGCTCAGCGGTTTAGTGCCGTCTTGAGCCCAGGGGACCTGGATCCTGGAGACCCGGGATCTAGTCCCATGTCAGGCTCCCTGCATAGAGCCTGTTTCTCCCTCTGCCTGTGTCTCTGCCTCTCTCTCTGTCTGTCTGTCTCTCTCTCTGTGTCTCTCATGAATAAATAAATAAAATCTTAAAAAAAAAATAAAGTTTAAGTGACAGATGAAGGCATTGTTACTGTTGCCTTGCTTAAAAAATGTGCGGTGCTTCCCATTTCGTGTAGGATAAAATTGAAATTCTTTATCATGACTTACGAGATTCTACTTACACTCTTAACCGCATACTTCTTGAAGTTCTTTTCTTAGATTCATTCATCCCAGCCACCCTTATTTTGTTATGCCTTGAACAAGTTAGGCACAATCTGGTATTTGTTTTTCCTGTCTGGAATGTTCTTCCCCCAGGTGTTTGCATGTGCTCCGTCTTTTTATTCAGGTGTTTGTGCGAGTGCCTTCTGATCAGTGTATCTCTTAGCCTTCTTGCTTTTATAGCACTCATAGCTCTGAATGTCTAAAATTATCTTCTGTCATCTCCTAAAAATATAAATATAATATAAATTCTGAGGGCTAGAACTTTGTTTTGTTCATTGCTGTATGTGTAATGCTTGGAGTGATGCTTAACCTAAAATCTCTGGAGGTTTATTTTAAAATTTTTGTGACTTATTCTTCATGCCACTGAGTGTTAACAGTTTCTTACTGAGTTAAATTACAAGTACCTATTGAGAACTAAAATTCTTTCCCAATTTAGGAGGCATTTTTGTAAGCTGATGGTGTTATCTCCTGTTAAGAGAAATTCTTAGAAAGAGGAAAAATAACAAGCATTATTCTGTTTAAATAAAAACTATACCTTTTAAAAGTTCTCATGCTGGTTGAGTAGAATTCTTAGAACTAGAGTGTAAGAAATGAAAAGAGAAGCTAACATTTGGCATTAATCCCTGTACTTTTTCAGTACTTAGTTTTATTATTTGTGTAAGAGGAGAAACCAAGGAGAAACCAATTAAATACTAGGATACGTATTTGCACTTTGTAACTTCATTTCAGAAATGTTTGTTTTGATTTTAAAAAATCTTAACAGTTTAATTGAAAATGTCTTATAATCTAAAAGTACATCTCTTTCACTTTTGTCCTTTTCTAGTTATCTATAGATTTATGTGTATTTTACATCATTATAAAATAAGTATTTTATATAATTATAACCATAAATTTTAACTTTAGATTTTCCTTATATAATTTTTTTTTAATTGGACTTCTTGACCGTTAAGGTGTCTTCCAACTCTTTTTTTTTTTTTTTTTTTGAAGATTTTATTTATTCATGAGAGACACAGGCAGAGGGAGAAGCAGGCTCCATGCAGGGAGCCCGATGTGGGACTTGATCCCAGGTCTCCAGGATCACGCCCTGGGCCGAAGGTGGCGCTAAACTGCTGAGCCATCCAGGCTGCCCTCTTGTTTTTGATAAAAGATCACTTAAGGAGTCAGAAATATTTTTGTTGATTTGTTTTTTGTTTTGATAAGTTTTAAAGTGAATAACAGGGCGGTCCGGGTGGCTCAGCAGTTTAGCACCGCCTTCGACCCTAGAGACCCAGGATTGAGTCCCATGTCAGGCTCCCTGCATGGAGCCTGCTTCTCCCTCTGCCTGTGTCTCTGCCTTTCTCTCTCTCTGTATCTTTCATGAATAAATAAAATCTTAAAAAAATAAAAATAAAAAATAAAGTGAATAACATTTTTCAACAGAATCAGACCATTCCCATATAGGATTTTTGCCTCTGATGTAGAGACTAGTTATGCTAATGCTTTGAAATAAATTGTCTGTTACCTTATTTCAAAATAAACATTTTAAGTAGTATGTGTTATTGAGAGCTTTTTATGATTGATAGTGTTATAATATGGTTTAACATTACCAGGATAGTTACTGTTATCTGGCCAACTTGGCCACTGTTCACTGAGTCAGTATCAAATTATAAATTAAATTGAAGTGAGAATCAAATAATAGAGACCTGTTGAAAAGGAAAAACTATTCCTCTACGCATTAAATACTTGGACATCGATTGTGTAGGTGTTTTTACACATTAGTTCTCTGACAATAGCTGGCTGACCAGCCATTAAATTGAGTTCTAACACCATCGACATGGAGTTAGAATCAGATCCTACAGATTAAGGGCTTAGTCCCACAAGACCTGCCTTCTCTTCAAATGCCAATAACAAGTAATAGGTTCCCAGATTCTGCACCCTTTTGTTCAGTTTGGCTACAAATCAGAGATTCCCATGGTACCCTCCTAAGGTTTAATAATTTGCTCTCATGGCTCACAGAACTCTGGGAAACATTTATATTTACTGGTTTATAATAAAGGATATGTTAAAGGTTACAGTTGAACAGCAGATGATGTATATAGGGTGAGTGAGGTCTGGAAGGGTCCTGGGTGCTGGAGCTTCTGTCTCTGTGAAGTTGGCAGTATACCATTCTCTTGGCACATAGATGTGTTCACCAAGCCAGTAGCTCTCTGAATCCATTTGGTTACAGTTTTTTATGGAGGCAGCTTGATGTTGGCATGATCGATAAATCACTGATCATTTGTGATTGGACTCAGTCACTAGCCTTTGAAAGTTCCAATTCTCTAATGATATGGTTGGTTCCACTGGTAACTGCTGTCCTGTGGTTATGTAGAAGATTCCCAAAAATCACTTCACTGACACTAACTTAAGTATCGTTGAAAGGGCCCTTGTTATGACCAACAACATTGTTCTTTTCACCTTTCTCTATTTCAGATCTATAGGACAAAAGCCAGGTACAATAGTAGATGCCCCTATTGCTCTTATCACTTAGGAAATTATAAAGGTTTTAGGATCTCTGGCCAGAAACCAGGATGAAGACCAAATATATATATTTTATTATTTTTTTTTAATTCCACTTAGCATACAGTGTAATATTAGTTTCTGGTACACAGTGTGGTGATTCAGCACTTTATACAATACCTCATCCTAACAAGTGCCCCTGACCTCTTATCTCCATCATCTGTTTTCACCCATCCTGCCACTTATCTCCCCTCTGGTAACCATCAGTGTGTTCCCTATAGTTAAGAGTCTATTTCTTGGTTTGTCTCTCTTTTCTCTTTACTGATTTGTTTTCTTAAATCCCACATATGAGTAAAATTATTTGGTATCTGTCTTTCTCTGACTTATCTTGCTTAGTGTAATACTCTTTAGCTCCATTTATGTTGTTACAAATGGCAATTTTTGTTCTTTATCAGATATATTTTTTTATTAATATTACACTCAGACTTTTCAAAAACTTGTATTTTGAAGAAAAATAAACATACAGAAAGGTCTAAAAATCATAAGTTTCAAAATTGCCCATACTATGTAATGACCTAGATTAAGACATGGAAATAGTTATGCAAGACAGCTAAGTCCTAAAGGTCTGTACAGCAATAGTGCCTGTAACAAGCAGAACTGCATTGGATGCTCAAAATTTTGCTAAGACAATAGATCTTTTATTAAGTGTTCTTAATATCCCATACAAAATAAGAATAAAAAGGGCTGAGGAATGTTTTGGAGGTGATAGATATGTTTTTGGCATAGACTGTGGTGATGGTTTCTCAAATGTATATTTATCTTCAAACTTAATCAACTTGTATACATTAAATATGTGTAGCTTTTTGTATGTCAGTCATACCTCAATAAAGCGGTGTAAAAAAAGAAAAATGGAATATTACCAACACTCTAGAAGCTGCTTTGGTTTAGACAGTATAGCCTTTTAGAATGGATGATTTTGATTATGTCTGTAAAAGTCAACTAGGAAGTCTTTGAAAATTTGCTGACTTTCATGGTGTTTATTACAACATTTTGTTCACAAGTTGATGTAAGAAAATACTTAAAATAGAGAACATAATAAAGCTGAAGTGTATTGGGAAGCATGACACATATAATTGGGAGAAATTTGGAAGCACAACAGAACTCCTAAGTTTCTTTGAGAAGTTAATCTTAGCTAGTGATTTCTGACCTTGATGTGGGATATTATTCCATAGGAAGGGATGTGAAGTTTTCTTGAGCCTCTGAAGAGAAAGTTAACATAGATTCTCTTGGGTTTTATTTGTAATTTACTACCTTAACAAATAAGAAAGTATATTCCAAGGGGGCACCAGGGTGGCTCATTTGGCTCAGGTCGTGACCTCGAGGTGTGAAGTTGTGCACCATGCAATTGGGCTCCCTGCTCAGTGGGAAGTTGGCTTCTCCTCTCTCTCTTCCCCTCCCCTGTGTACCCTCTCTCACTCTCTAAAATGGAGGAATCTTTAAAAAAAGAAAAAAAAGAAAGTATGTACCAAGAAAGGAGAGAGGAATTGAAAAGAGCCCTCTTTTCCAATTCCGTCAGCATGCAAATTGTAGTGCTATATTTAGAGGGTACTGAAAATGATCTACATGCCTATCGGGAGACCAACGAGATAATGGTAGATATTTCCACACACCTATTAAAGACTAGTAGAGTTATATGGTCTGACCTGGAAAGAAGTATTAAGTGTTTAAAAGAAAACATTTTTTGTTTGACTTTTTCTGAAGATGTGCATGCACACATTTAAAAAGTCAAATAGTTCCATAAGATATGCTAGGAAAGGGATCCCTGGATGGCACAGTGGTTTAGCGCCTGCCTTTGGCCCAGGGCGCGATCCTGGCGACCCGGGATCGAATCCCACGTCGGGCTCCCGGTGCATGGAGCCTGCTTCTCCCTCCGCCTGTGTCTCTGCCCCTCTCTCTCATTCTATGTGACTATCATAAATAAATAAAAATTAAAAAAAAAAAGATATGCTAGGAAAAATATTAGAGGGCTGTCCCAGTTGTGTCTTTCTGAAAACAATTCTTCCAGAGCCTTCTGACATGCTTCATTCTGGACTGGTTGCCCTCAACACCTGAAGTACAGCTGTTACCTTTGGGAATGACCACTCTTTACCACCATCCTGGGATTTCCCTAATCTCTCTTTTTTTTGGGGGGGGGGTTGGGGGGTTCACCTATTTCCTCCATCATAAGTCTTTTCTTTCTTGGTTTACTCCCTTTTGATGCATTCTTTCCCTGTAATAGCTTCTTGGGAGAACATGCATGGGAAGTAAACTTCTGAGGCCTTGCATGTTTGAAAATACCTTTATTGTATACCCTTAATTTGGAATTGTTTGGGTAAGATATTTGAAATTGGAAGTCTTTTTCAGGATTTTGAGTATGTTATTCTTTTTCTGGTTTTCGGTGTTATTTTGGAAGCTGTTACTTGTTCCTTCGTTTATGGATATATTTATTTTTCCTTTTGTAGGCTTTTAGGATCTTCTCTTAGTGTACAGAGTTCTGAAATCTCACTATGATTGTGTGTCTTCGTGGAAGGGGCCCAGTTTGCTGGGCCCTTGGTGGCCCTTCCAGTATGTGAACTTGCATCTCTCAGTTCTGGGAGATTCTCTTGTATTGTTTTTTTTAAATTTGTTTCCACCTATTTACTTTTTCTTTCTGGGACAGAAATTTTGCCCTTGTGGGCTTTTCCTTACACTCTCTTTCTCTTGTTTTCTACTTCTGCTCTTTTAAAAAACAAAAACATTTTGGGTGACTTTCTCATCTTTACAGCCTAATCCTTTAATTTGATTTTTCATTTCTTCTGTCATCCTTTAATTTCTAGGGTTTCTGTTTTCTTTTCCCTGTTTTATGGTTCCAATTTCTTAGTTTTATGAGATTGTTGAGGGTTTGTTTTAAAAATTTTCATTTTCTCCTGTGTCTCTGCGCTTCTCTCTCTCTCTCTCTCTCTCTCTCTCTCTCTCTCTCTCTCTCTCTCTATCATAAATAAAGAAATAAATCTTTAGAAAGGGGGGGTGGGGATCCCTGGGTGGCTCAGCGGTTTGGCACCTGCCTTTGGCCCGCGGCGCAATCCTGGAGTCCCAGGATTGAGTCCCACGTTGGGCTCCCGGCGTGGAGCCTGCTTCTCCCTCCTCCTGTGTCTCTGCCTGTCTCTGTGTCTCTCTCTCTCTCTGTCATAAATAAATAAGTAAATCTTTTAAAAAAATAAAATAAAAAATAAAAAATTTCATTTACCTGCATAGTTTGTTTTCTATTTTGGTTTCTATTTTTTTATGTTGGAGAGTTTCCTTAGATAGTCTTTACAGAGACCCTGGCTGCTCATGATTAGGAATGAAGCACTAAAATGCTCTTTGGGCACTCTGAGTGTCTGAAATGGGGTCCTATGACTTGGCTTAGTATAAAGTATAAAGCATGGATTCTCAATCGGGGCAGTTTTACCCCAGGATACGTTTTAGGTTGTCGAGACTGAGGGGGTGTTATTGGCATCTGGTGGCCAAAGATGCTGTTAAATATCATCTGGCCCATGTGTCCTAAGTGCTGAGGTTGAAAAACCCTGCTGTAGAGTGATAGCCAGTGTGTTGAGGATCTCCTGGTGCAGGTTAGTTTTTTAGGCTGGTCAGATTTTTTAAAAGAACCTTTATAATGTTCTGATGAGGCACAGCCTTACGGCTTTTGTTCTGGGAGAACTCTGTCTTACTCTTTGGTATGTAACTGATTAACTTGCTGTTTTCTCAGTCTTGTCTGCCTCATTTCTAATTTATGTTTCCCCCTAGGCCACAGATACTGCTTTACCTTTCAGAGCAAGGATCAGCAAAACTTTAACATAAAGAGTCAGATAAGAAATATTTTAGCTTCAGGGGCCACATTAGTGTAATCCTGCAGCTCCAGTGCAGGAGGACCCATAAATAGATGTAAAGGATGTAAACATGACTAAATAAAGGTTTACTAATGGATCCTGAATTTTGGATTTCATCTGATGGTCATTTGTCATGAAATGTCATGAAATTTTCTAGTATTTTTTTTCCTAACCATTTAAAAATGTTAAAACTTTTTTTGGGCTGTGCAAAAACAGGCAGCAGGCCAGATTTGGCCAGCAGATTGTGAATTGCCAACCTTTGTTCTAGAGAATAATCACTTGCCTTTTACTGTGAGGTTCAGGAGTGGCAGTGCCCTCCAATAGGTGAAGTTGGCAAGGGAGATCTACTGATTGACTTTTTCTTAAACAGACTGATTAAGATCAGTCTGTCTTTACCCTCACTTCTCTGGATATCTGGTGCTGTCACTTGTGGAGCTTTTTGAGGATTCTCTAATTAAAATTTTTTTAAAAAAAAGATTGGTTTCTTTGTTTTCTTGATTGCTGAGTTACTCAGGTCCACTTTCTCACATCTGCCAAGTCCTTTCCTACTTATACATGTTCTTTTTACCTTTAAGAGTTGCTTTTTCTCTTTTTCCCATTGGCCTGTTCTTGATGGTTTGTAACTTAAAATGTTCTATTGGCATTTTATTGGCATTTGAAGAAAACAGGAAACAGTCATGGCATGCATGTTCAGCATATTGTCTTGTCTATATACATTGTTAAGTGGGGAAAATATTACAGGATATATGTAAAGCATTACATTTTGGTGAAAATAACTATGTCCTAAAGAGAAGCACAGAAATCAATTTAAACTATCTGTTCCAGGTTTTTTCCTAGAAGAGATTTGGAAGGATTCTAATTTCTTTATATTGCCTGAAATTCAATTTGAAATCAGGGAAAATGTATTCAATTTGAAATTAGGGAAAATGAAAATTAAAGATGCTTTTAACTTTCTTCTAGAAATCTAAACAGAGGATTTGTGAGACTTGCTACAGATAACTTATATGTAAATGAAATATGTGTAGTTGGCGCATTTATCTATTCTAGTTCGGACAGAGATATTTATTTAGTATTATAGATTCCATAGTTTGGTAATTAAATGATTTGTATGAAAGACTAACTTGTCAAATTGGTTTATTTTTGTGATAGGTATTTGATCAGTATGTAAAGACGAGGGCAGAGGAAGAACGCAGGGAAAAGAAAAACAAAATAATGCAAGCCAAGGAAGATTTCAAAAAAATGATGGAAGAAGCAAAATTTAATCCGAGGTATATGATTCATTACTTAACATTTCAAAATATCTATGTGCTTTCTCCTAAGATCAGTTAAGAAAATGTGTATCTTTTGGATAATTGGATTATTTGATTATTGGTTGCTGTATTTCCAATCTTCATTCTTAATATATTTCCTTTAGAGGAATCTCTTGTGCCCTTTGAGAGGCATTGGTTTTTGAGAAGGCTACCTTTGTTTTAAAAGCTTCCCTATGAAACGAATTAGGGGTGGTGGAGGGGGAGGAGGGCGGGGGGTGGGGGTGAATGGGTGACAGGCACTGAGGGGGACACTTGACGGGATGAGCACTGGGTGTTATTCTGTATGTTGGTAAATTGAACACCAATAAAAATTAATTTATTAAAAAAAAAAGCTTCCCTATGGGAGTAAATTTCCTTCTGTAGAAACTGGCAAATGATTTAAAAAAGAAAAATCTGTATCTTTTTAAAGTCTGACACATAATAGATTGTAGAATAGGAACATTATTTTGAGTGAATTGAAGTGGTAAAGGACTTCTGCTTTTGTCTGACATTTTCAGTTGATTGTTAATGGGTATTGAATCTGTCTAATGTATAATGGGCTGAAGAAGATGAGACATTTTAAACTTACGTGGCTAATATCGTAACACAATAATGGCATCTATTAGTGGATATTATATGTGCTTTTAAAAGTATATGTACATCTCATACTTATTTTTCAGGTAAGGAAAGTAAGACAAAGTAAATTAGGTAACTTGCCCACGTGAATCTGGGGTTTCAGTTAGATTCCATTGTTAACATTGAATAGGCAAGGGAGAATTACTTTCTTATTTATGGCTTAGTTTTGGCAGTGGTGTTAGGCTGCTATGAACAATTTGTAACATGGAGAATCTCCAACAAAACTGTAGGGTAGAATTATGGAGCATCTGGGTTAAGTGGTACTTTTTGTAAAAATCCATTTTGTTTCAACAGTTGCTTTTGTCATTGGAGATAGAGAAGAGTGATGCAATTTGAGAAAGTGTATTTAGTATTACGATTTTATATTTAAAAGATGAAGAGAAACCTATGGCATTAATACACATTTCAGACAAAGTTAACAGTATTTGTGTTTCTGAAGAATGCAATATTTGTAAGGACGTAATTGAGTCTCTCTCTAAGGCTCTCTAAGAGTTCTTAGGTCTTAATGTTTGGTTAATCAGAAGAGTGAGTTCTTGGGTAAGATACTTGGGAGTGGGTTATTAAAGACATTTTGGGAGGCAGTTGAGGAAATTTGAGCATAGTTTGTTATTACATGATATTAAAGAATTGATAATATTTTTGGGTACTGTGGTTGTGGAGGGAAAAGGATTTACTCTGAGGGAGATACATGGCTGAAATATTTATAGATTAAAGTCTCATGATGTCTGCAACTTGTTTTCAAGTGATTCAGCAAAATACATCTATTTATTAAAAGCATTATGGATCTGGCAATAACTGAAATTCAAGAGATACCCATTTTGTGGATTTGACAGATTAAGTTTGCTGTATCAAGTATCCTGCTAGTGTTCTTTTGGAGCTGATAGAATTGTTTGAGTGATCTGTATTTTGCGGGTTACTTCAAAAAATAAAGCCATGAGGTACATAACTGGAAGTCTCGCACCAGGAACATTGTGCTGTATTGCTATATTAATATATTTAATAGTAGCATAGAGATTAGGACCAATTTTAGTGAGTGGCAGAAAATGAGGAGGAAAAACTTAAAATGGATAAAATAGTGTGCATTAACTTAAGTTCACTTTGAAATGGAAGAAAACCTCTGTCACTAAGCTTTTTAGTAGAGTTTGTAAAGTCCTGGAGCTTATTCTAAGGAAAAGAATGCTTGGGGAGAATTACCTTAATGCCCATTTATACATCTTTTTTCTATTTTGATGGAAAGGTTAAGGCATTCTTCGTAGGGTCAATTCCTGGTCTCCTGCTTCTATTATCCACCTTCAACTCTCCTTGAGAGAAAAAAAAAAATCTCCTCTTACCAAAGCAGTGCTTTTTGGAGTTAAGAGATAAGTCATATAAAAATCTATCTGAATTTAATGCTAAAACTTCATCTTAGTCTTTTCTGTGAAAAATCATAATTATTTACCTATTGTATTACAAGTTATAGAAATACCTATAAAATAATTAAATTCTCACTTTTGTAAGTTGATTTTGCATTTTAAAAAGTTTATTCTTTAATCATAGTAGTAATTGCTCTTCTCTCTTAAGATTATAATGCAAGGTGCTTAATTTACCATAAAAAGAAAACATTTGGGGATCCCTGGGTGGCTCAGTGGTTTGGCACCTGCCTTTGGCCCAGGACGTGATCCTAGAGTCCCGGGATCGAGTTCCGCTTTGGGCTCCCGGCATGGAGCCTGTTTCTCCCTCTGCCTGTGTCTGCCCCTCTCTCTCTCTCTCTCTCTCTCTCTCTCTCTCTCTCTCTCTCTCTCTCTGGCTATCATGAATAAATAAATAAATAAATAAATCTTTAAAAAAGAAAAAGAAAACATTTGATGGACTACATATGATCCCCTTTCTGGGACATCTGTTTTTTACCTAGAAATTTTATTAAAGGTACATACCCATTATTCAAACCAACTGCAATATTTCATTAATGAAATTAGGTATTGTAACATGTAAAAGATTGTTAGAATCTGGATTTGGCTGCCAAAGTGTAAAAGTAGCAAACAATAGCTGTGAGTGATACTTCTAGTTTTCAGTTGCTGTTTTAATTTAAATTCTAAATTTTGAAGTTAACCAGTTTTTTCTTTATAGTGAAAGTTGTAACATAATCTTTATTTTAACACCAGAGAAGATGTGTTTTATAATTGCATTGAAATAGTTAAATAGTTCTTAAAAGGAGAAAGTTAAATTTATTTTTCCCCTCTAAAAAGATGCTAAATGGGGGAGTATTTATTATAAAAGCAAATTATTATTATGCATCAGATATTGAATTCAGATATTAAACTTCAGATATTGGAGTATATCCAAACTGAAAGCTATATTTAAAGCCTTTTATTTGTGAAGAAAATTTTTATGCTGAGCCTCATTAGCCCTCATAGGCCTCATCTTTTTATATAGCCTGCTATATATTACTAACCTTTCACTAAACATACCTTAATTGTGCTTTTTGGATCTCTGCATGTTGATGTTTTCATCCAAACCAGGGAAAGTTTTGATGAGCATTTTTTCTGCTCTGATTCATTTTTTTCCCTTTTAGAAGTCTAATTACACTTATTTAGAGTGTTTGGTATTTTCGCACATGTTCCTGAGACTATCTCCGCCCCCCCAATTTTTTTCTTGCGTATTCTTTTGGTTAGGTAACTGGTACTGATCTAACTTGGAGTCACTGCCTCTTTATTCACTGTCTATTCTTTTGTTAAGCCCATTCAGTGAATTTTTCCTTTCGGTTAACTTTAGGTTCTTTTTTTTCTGTTTTTAATATCTGAAACTTTTTTTTTTTAATTTGTATTTATTTATGATAGTCACACACACAGAGAGAGAGAGAGGCAGAGACATAGGCAGAGGGAGAAGCAGGCTCCATGCACCGGGAGCCTGATGTGGGATTCGATCCTGGGTCTCCAGGATCGCGCCCTGGACCAAAGGCAGGCGCCAAACTGCTGCGCCACCCAGGGTTCCCCTGAAACTTTTTTTCATTCATTAAGACTTTGTTTTTAGTTCTTTGAACCCATTTTTCTTTAATCCTTTCAGTATAATTATAATAGATTATAATATATTAGATTATAAAAGGTTTATCTCTGCCTAGAACAACATCTGGGCATTTGGGGGTTAGTTTCTGTGGATTTAAAGAGTTTTTTGGTGTAGATTATGCATTCTTTGTATGTTGAATGTTTTCTTATTGAATGTTGGAAATTCTGGGTATTTTCTTCACAGGCAGTTCATTTTATTACAGGCTGACCTTAATTTAGCTTTGATTTAAGGTTTTGTCAGTGCATATCTTGGAAGGTGAAAGGTTTTTCAGTGGTCCAGCTTTGTCTCCCTGGTGCACCTTTTGTGGACTTTATTGTTCTAATGTTGTTCTTTTTCTGTACTTCTCAGTTTCTATGTAGCACTTTGGTGGGGAGTGTAGTCTTTGCCTGCTTTGGGACAGTTCAGCCTTGGTGGTCTATTTACTCATGGGGAATTGTTTTGTGGTATAATTATGGGGTACTCTCTTCCAATAGCTTCTTCCTCTGCTATTTTAGCACCCAGACTCTGATCCTTACTGTTTATGGCTATTGAGACCACTATATCCTTGGAGTATAACTTCTTGGGAAATTGTCCCATGGCAAAGGGCAGTTGGGACACTCCTTAGTCTTAGAACTCTTACCTGTTGTCCACTGTTTTAAAATCAGTTGCTTCATAAATTTTGTCTTGTCTTATGATTGTTTCTGGAAGAAGAGCTAATTCAATAAAGTTACTCCTCCATGGATGGAAGCAAGATTCAGCCTTCTTAAGTCTCTGGAAGCACATACATTTTTTTTTGCTCTTTGATGTGTTATCCCCCAGTATCATGCTGATAGTTTGCAAATTGCTAACCACATTTTCACCCTTTAGCCATCTTTTACTCTTTTCTGTAGCTCATTGTTCACTGTTTAGGTAGATAAGGGGCTCAATGATTCTTTGGCACATATTCTTGCTGGCAAAATGGTCTTCTGCTATACCTTTCTACAAGAGAAATAGCTCTACCAAAGTTAGCACACTTGCCATTTTGTTACAGAGCTACTTTTAGTGAATTTGCAGCCAAGCATGCTAAAGATTCAAGATTCAAAGCCATCGAAAAGATGAAAGATCGAGAAGCTTTATTTAATGAATTTGTGGCAGCTGCAAGGAAGAAAGAGAAAGAAGATTCGAAGACCAGAGGTGAGAAGGTAAGATGGTTTTAGTTCCAGCGGTGTGATTAACAGGAGTGTGAATAGAAAGGGACTGATGTGGGGGGCTGTGTTGCTAATCTCATTCAGGAGCATAAATTACAGGACCCACAGTTACTGTTTAGCTTTATAAGTTAACTTTTACGATTGTTTATATGTATGAATTGTCACTTCACTTCCATGATATTTATTTTAATAACGTGGCTAAACTACATAGATTTGCTTTACATTTTATTTTACATTTACAATTTATTAATACTGAGATGCCCAGTAAACCCAGAACTGTTAGATCTGTCTACTCATTGGTGCCTGTTAGATTTCAAGATTCTTAATAAGTGGTAACCTTTAAATTTCAAAAAGCTTTTTTATCTTTTTTGCCTTCTAAAAGATAGCATTTTAGTGAGTTTCTAATCTTTTAGTAAACATATCTTACATATAAATTATTGCTTATCAGAAATAAAGGTCAGCTATTAAAGATTAATGAATTCCAAATGTCATTTGATAACACTATCATTAGTGGAGAGGAGCCCACCACTGGAGAAGCAGGCTGGTGGAGATGGCACCAGTGGTGCGTGAACCATCAAAACATAACAGCCACTCTCCTTAGTGTCCCTATGTGCTTTGTGAATGGAGAAAAAGGAACTCTGAAGCCTAATCATTTTTGGCATTTAAAATGACCTGTTATTCCAGAAAGTTAAAACGTCACGAATTCTATTAAGAAATGTTGTTAGGGGAGTAAAGCACTCTTACTAGGAAAAAGCCTCTTTCACTGTAAATAGCAAATGTTGGGTGAAGTAACTTTTGTCAGAAATACCTGAAATTTCTTGATTTTATAATATATTGGGCTTCAGCCTAGATCCTTCCAGAATTATTTCACTATTAACTTTTTTCCCCCAATGATTATGTCTCAGGAAATGTGCATAATTGAGTGTTGAATTAGAATCACGTCAATGGATTGTTTGCTACTTTTGACTTTCAGTAATAACCTATTTGATTAAAGAAAATCAAGTAATGATACTCTATGTGATTGCTTTTATACAAATTGAATTTTTCTGTTTGCATTTGTAACTAATGTTCTTTTTCTAAACACTTCTTAGTAACTATTTTGTGTTCTGTTTTATAACAAGTGGATAGACTTTACAGTTTTGTACTGTGCTGCTTGTCAATCACTTCAGTCTAACAGCTGTCAATCATTGATACCAAAATATTATGGGATTCCCTAGTGAGGAAAGAATTGGTTTCTCTGTGTGGTGACTTAGCCTCTCACAGCTCCGGTACTTTACATTTTTTTAGTCTTTTCCCTTATGAAATGGTGAGAGTTGTGCCCAGAATATGTTAATTGAAATGAAATAAATAGACATTAAATAAACCTAATATATTCAGCTTTATTTTCTTTTGATTGTAAAATTCTCTAAATTGCAGGTTTCGTTTTGTATCATTACTAAATTTTTTAAAAAGAGGCAGGAAATTACTAAAGTGAAACTTTCTCAGTTGAAAGAATGCAAAATTACTAACTAGACTGTGGAAACAAATCTTTAGGGGTTTAAATATAGTATATTTTATATTTACATTCTGAAAAGTAGCTGGTTAATGAAGTTTTACCACTTTCTTCATGACTTTTACTGTGCTCATTTTTAGGAAGTTTATTGTCTGTACTGGTTTTTAAAAATCACATTTTAACTATGTGTAATTGAATAGTAGGATTAGTGCTTAGTAGCATTGGATTTTTTTTTCTTTATTCTTGTGATTCTCTAGCTGTTTCTTGTAGCATTGAGATAATGCAATTAATAGCTGAATAGTAAAGGTTTAAAGGTAATTATTTGCTGAGTCAAAAACCTATGAAGGACATTGACTTTTGATGAAGTCGCCTTTTTTTTTTCTTTCAGAAGACATATTTCATATAGCTTTTACTGATAACTTTCCATTTTATAAAAGATGCCCCTAAAACTAAGCATTTTATTTTTAAAATGCTTATTTTTACTAAACTGTTTAGTTTGCCAAAATAGCTGCTTTTAAGTGTTTATTATAATTTTTAGTTATAACCAAATTTTATAAAATTACAGTTCAAATAATATGCTTTTTGGAATAACACATTTGAAGTTGCATATAAATAGAGTTAATCCTCATGAAGTTGGCATTTTTCTCTCGACCCTCCCTTAAATTTCAACTTGAACAAGTTAAGCATTTTTGTTACAGTTACAGGCTATGGAGACTACATTTCCTTATTAAACTGAACAACATAGATGGTAAGGTATTTCCATTTGGAGAGAGAAGAAAATAGGGAATATAGGGCCTCAGATTGCTGCTAGTGGCATTTACTTTTTGTTTTTTTAAATTACATTTACAATTGTTAAATAATGCCCATATAGGTAGCAGTTTTGGTAAACCACATAATAGCCTGTCATGATAGTATCCACAGTGGAAGGAAGATTAACTTTATTTTACGTTCACTTTGTTTATATATCACATATTTTTAAACCTATGTGTTAATCCTTTATAGGTTTTGTGTCTAATATGTGAAAATTGTCTTTAAGTCAATATAAATTCCTACGGCTTGGAAGGATTCCTATTTGATACAGCTTGCATGCTTTATTTAACATGAATTTTGTCAACTTTGCTTTGTAGTTATATGCATCTAGGAATTGGGTGTTCATCATGTCAGATACAAAGTAGACAAGATGAACAGGAAAAGTGTTACATCACTATATCAAGTAGCTTCTTTTTTCATTGTCCGGAAATACTGGCTTTATGAGTATTTCTTACTATTCCACACAAAGGCAAGAGCTAAGTTTAGTAGTAAAGAAATCCACAGCTGGTTAGCTTTTGTCTTTTAAAAAATTCTCTGATAGGGAAACTTTTTCTTACAACTTTCGAGGTATTTTCCAGAAAGAACACCGTCCTCCCTTTTAATCCTCTCATAGAGGAAGTGAAGGTTTGAATAGGAAAAAGGAATGATTCCATTCCTAATTTCTCATTCCCTCCGTCAGGTAGGAAGCCAGCATGTTTAACTCCTTTGGGGAGGCGAGGTTCTTGAGATGATCGGAATCCTCTATTAAATTGTTACCTCGTGTGTCTCCCCTGGTAGGGAGTATAAGATAATTTAAGATTAAATTTTAAAACAGGTCCTCAACGGTGCATAAAAAATAAATGCCTACCTTGTCCCTTTCTTCCCTAAAGAAAATGAGAATTACAGTTTGGCAGTGGGGTTCTAAGTACTGTATATGCTAACGCTAAAGGATTAATACCATTTTTACTCTTGGTATAATGTTAACTGACTTGGTACTTGATGGGTTAAGAATGTTAATTCATTAATACTTTTGAATTATATAATGGTAAAGGCATACATGATTAATGACTAAAAAGTACAAAAAATCTGAATATAGTTTGCATAATTATTGATTATAACCATAGAAATTCTGTAATTTTTTTTTTTTTTTTTTTTTTTTTTTAGAAATTCTGTAATTTTTTATGTAAGGGTGCGAACATTGCTTTTTTAAACTAAAATACAAAAATTTACCCTGCTCTTTACCTGTTTTTAAACATTTGACAATTAGTTTCAAGTTCTTAATGAATGAGACTTATTTGTGCTCAGCTTTTTCCAAATTCCCCTGTAGTAACAAGAAATAGGTCATTCTTCCTGTCTTGATGTTACAGTATAGTTTACTGTCAGTTCATAAGCCTGAATCTTACCTAAAAATAAATGTGAATTCTTGTTTTTTATTAAAAAAAAATGGCAGTTCTGAAATGAAAAAGTTAAAAACAACCTAAGAAGATTTTTTTTTCTGTATTTGAATAATTTCATTGGAGAAAATTATTTGTTTTGAATTTGGTAGATTTTAAATGAGAGCTTATATGTGTGTTGATTTTTATATTTTTCCTAAAAGAGCAATTTTGATACTTTTTTACTAAAAAGTATTCTGCTATAAATGCATTTAAAAAGTTACTATTCTTGTCTTTAAGGTAAGTGAATAGTTCTTTCTGCTTACAAACATTTGCATATGAGGAATTTCTCATGGTACATCTCCCCCCTCAATCCCACTGCATGTTTTGAAATACAGATTAAATCGGATTTCTTTGAACTATTATCTAATCATCACTTGGACAGTCAGTCCAGATGGAGCAAAGTAAAAGACAAAGTAGAAAGTGATCCACGTTACAAAGCAGTGGATAGTTCATCAATGAGAGAAGACCTTTTCAAACAGTACATTGAAAAAATAGCCAAGGTAACCATTGTTTTTACTTGTACTGTAAACATGGAATAATAAAAATTGTTTTTGAACAATAAAATTCTTAATTGCATTATAAAGGTATTCACTCCTCTTGGGATTTGGAATTTGTCTTTTTAAAAAAATTATTTTTAAGATTTTATTATTTGAGACCAAGGGCAAGAAGGAGAATAGGAGCAGAAGGGTTGGGGATTATGGCAGAGGCAGAGGGACAAGCAGACCCCCCCCCCGCTGAGCAGGGAAACCAACGTGGGGCTCCCATCCCAGGACCCCGGGATCAGGACCTGAGCTGAAGGCAGATGCTTAACCCACAGCCACCCAGGTCCCCTGGGATTTGGAATTTTTCTTGTTGGTATTCTTAATATAAGGATCTCTAGTAGTTGGTGTGGAAATGAGGTGGTATAGTGTTCAGGTATATTCTTGATAAAAACCAGGGTTGAAATTTTCTGTTTGGTAAACTAGTTATTCTGTGGAAACATATTTTGATAATATAATTTTACTTTTACAGAATTTAGACTCTGAAAAAGAAAAGGAGCTTGAAAGGCAAGCCCGCATTGAGGCAAGCCTTCGAGAACGAGAGAGAGAGGTTCAGAAGGCTCGTTCAGAACAAACAAAAGAAATAGATCGAGAGAGAGAGCAACACAAACGAGAAGAAGCTATCCAGAATTTCAAGGCTCTTTTGTCTGACATGGTATATATTATTCTTGCCCCCCCCCAAAGTATTGGATATTAGAGATCTATTACCTTGTTTAGTGAAAATTTTCATACTCTTTAAATTGACTCTCAGAGATATAATTTGTTAAGTTGTTTTATAAATTACAGTGTTTTCAAATGCAGTTCTTGGTATTAGCACCATTAGAATAGGAAAACCCTAGTTATTTAACACTTTCAGAGGTTAGATATTTTGTGTATATAAAAATTTACAATCCTTTAGTCTCAAAGATAATTTTTTTAAAAGATTTTATTTATTCATGAGAGAGAGAGTGAGAGAGAGAGGCAGAAACCTAGGCAGAGGGAGAAGCAGGCTCCCGCAGGGACCCTGATGCGGAACTTGATCCTGGGATTACGGCCTGAGCTGAAGGCAGACGCTCAGCCACTGAGCCACCCATAATTATCTTATGTCCCTCAAAGACAGTTTTTTAAATCTTGATAGAAATTAAATTATCACATGCTGAATATAAATTAAATAATTAAATTATCACATGCTGAATGCTGTATAATAAACAAGTGTTGAATGTAATTAAACCTTTTTCTTGATGATTTAGGGTCATTACTGTGGTAATGAATTATTATACATGTAGATGGTATAAGATCTAGGACTGGAAGTATACTGACCCCAGGAGATACCCTGGAATTGTTTTGACAAACCCTTCTGCATCACCCAGGGTTGTTGATGTGTGTAGGGTTTTCTCCAGACAGTGAATGCCTGAAGGCTGCTCTGCTGTTCTGCTTGTTTTGTCCTCTCTCCGTGTCACCGTCTCTCCTGCTGTTTCTCCTCCTCTCTTTTGTAAGGGCTCTTTACTACTGTCTCTTCTGATTTCTTTTCTTCTGCTGATCTGTTTTCAGTTTCCTCTTTCATTTCTCTGGACAGTTATAGTCATTTCCTGATTGTTCTCCCTGCTTTTACTTTCCCCAAATTCGTCCTCTTTATTGCAGTCACAGAAATCTTCATAAAAACCAAATACTATTTTGCACTCTTCCTGTGGCTTGCAGAGAGAGAATGTTCTCCTGGCTTCTAGTGGTCGCCTACATTTAAAATTTCGTCTTCCTAGCGTAATATATAGGCTGTTCATTCCTTGACTCACCCACCTTCATATTATGTTATCCTCTGGTTTCCTCTCTTGCCCTCTAAGCTCCAGCCTTTCTGAACTACCTCTAATGAATCATACTTACATTAACGAATCCGTCATTGCTCATGCCAATCCCTCCACCTCGAATGCCTCCTGATGCAAACTCATTCTTCAAGAGAACACTCAAGTATCTCATTTGTGAGGTTGATCTTGGCTCGTTTAAGGCAGATTTGTTTTTCCTATTCCCCTTTGCCACCGTATGTTCAGATACATCTCTGCAGCATATACTACGTGCTGTTGCTGTTATTTGCGTATATGCCTCTTTTTTCTTAAAAAAGTGAGTTGTTTGACGGAAGGCGTAGTGTCTTATTTGTTTTTACAATATCAAGCTTCATGTTTAGCTGACACGTTTTTCAGTGCCTGATAAATGTTGGTTAAATAAATACTTTTGCTTTTTTTTTTCTTACATGTCTTTTCAACCTCTCATATTTCTTAGCATTGGCTGCTGTGTGACTAGCAATAACTTGTGTTGCCATTTGCAGCCATGAAGGGTACCTTTCTGCTGGTTATTGAGCCAGCCTGATCCGTCATACCTTTTCTTATTAGCCATGTTAATTCTTGCTTATGCTGGAAATTGGTAAGTGTACATTTGAGCTCAAGATTTGTTGAGTGTTTTTTTTTCTCCTGTGACCTCTTTAGTACTTCAGTAAGATATTTCCTGTTTTATTTGTACCATTTCTCCTACTGAAAGTTGGCAAGATGTTAAGTTAGAAGCTCTTCCCTTCATCCGTCTCCACCTGTAAATCCATACTTGATAGCTTTAGGTGAGCTCTGAGAGGTGGGCTTTTTGGCTTTAAAGAAGTAGATTTTCAGTGACTGCTTAACTAAGGTGGAATCACCAGTAGCTCCTTTCATTATTAAATGTATCATTTTTAATCTAAGTAAGTAAGCCTTTTATTGTTGAAATATGAGAAGTCTATGGTGATAGAATTTCTTGGTATGTTTTTAGGTACGTTCTTCAGATGTGTCATGGTCTGATACTCGGAGGACTCTGCGGAAAGATCACCGTTGGGAATCTGGATCTTTGTTGGAAAGAGAAGAGAAGGAGAAGCTTTTTAATGAACACATTGAAGCACTTACCAAAAAGAAGAGGGAGCACTTTAGGCAACTTCTGGATGAAACTTCTGCAGTAAGTTCCTCGTTTTCCCTGTTTAAATCTAGATGGACCTTCATGAATAATTCCAAAAGTAAAACATCGATGTGATTATTGGTGTCATGGTGTTTAGATCCATTACTGGAATTCATGGGTTTTATGACCCTTTCTTCTCTGATTTTATTTTTCCTTTTTTTAAGTAAAATGTTAATGGCAGTCTTACTATGTAGAAATTACTTCCTTCTGCAGTTTTCACATTCGTATTTGCTCCTTTGGTAATTCATGTCCCTAGCTGTATGATCATTGGTCCCTTCCAATGATAGGCTTAATAGATTCCATCTTTTGCTTCATCTTCAGTGTGGTACAGTGGCCCCCTTCTACGTACCCTCTGTTCAGGTTTTCTCCTGATTCTCTGATCTCTTTTTGATGATGGTTTCTTTAGAAGTTATGGTGTGATCTGTGGAGTTTGCAAGGCTTGCTAGGTGATAGTCTTAGGCTCATTGAAGTATGGCCATGAAAATAACCCTTGTGGCAAGCCAGAAAGAAATTTCATTAAAGCTGCTTCCCTGTCCTTTAATTAGTCCAGTTAAGTTTGGGCAATACAGGAGGTGGCAGGTCAGTGTGTGATGTCGTGTACCAGGTATGCTCCCCTTTGACCCTCAATAAAAGTGAGTCGTATTTACATTTTTTTATTCACTTGCCTTTCAAAGATTACCTTAACATCCACATGGAAAGAAGTAAAAAAAATCATTAAGGAAGATCCTCGGTGCATTAAGTTCTCCTCCAGCGACAGGGTAAGAGGATTTTGTCTGAGATTTACTTACTGTCAGTTTGTAAATATTAATTGGGTGCTTAACAGTACCACTAGTTTCTTGACCAAAATGTGGAATTGATGGTGTTAGGTGAATAATTTGTAACTGTATGAGAAAGAAATCTGAATTTTAAATTCATATTTTGTACCTTGCATGATACATTAACAAGAAAGCACAGTAGAAACTTAAAAAATTTAATCCTTGGGGTCAAGCCTCTGTTTGGGGATGTTAGAACTTTAATGAAGCTGTGGGGTTTTTTTTACTGTATAGTCGGGTCCCACTAGGGTAATACATTCTCTCTGACAATTGGGACCAGGTGGTCAGAGCCCCGTGAAGTGTGTAGAAGTAGAGTTCCCTTCTGGTACACTCTGCCTCCTGTATGGAAAACAAACTCAAGCTGGGTTCTGAAATAGTGACTGATGGCAAGGGCAGCATAGCTGACCACAGTCTTAGTTTATCCTCGGCTTTTCATTTATTCTCTGTCTCCATCATTGCCCTTTCCTGGTTGATTTCTCCAGGTCTAGGGTGCACAGCCCCATAGATGTAATATTCTTTCCCCTCTTGCTTTTTTAATAAGTTGGGTTTTAGATGTGTGGGCCACAGCATACTCATGGCTGGGAGGGAGTGGTAGACGAACAGCTGATTGATCCACGATCCAGTCTCAGTTTCTAACTTTTCTGATTGTTTGGAATTAGCAGTCTTTTTTTATTTTATTTTTTTGCCCAAAGAGCTTATCCTCATCACTTCCTGTTCCCTTACTAGAAAAGCTAAATGCTTTTGGTGCTAGGTGATATAAATACAATCTATGGAATGGCGAGTTTACCCCACCCCTTAATCTCTTTATTTTTGAGTGTCTACTGCTTGAGGTTGTTAGGAGCAATAGCCTCCTCAGACCCTCAGCATAGCGTCATCCGTAGCAAGCCCTCGAGTTTAGCTACTGCTCATACAGTGTATGGGACCTTGTTCCTGTTTTTTGTTTTTTTTTTTTTAAGATTTATTTATTTATTTATTTATGAGAGAGCGAGAGAGAGAGAGAGAGAGAGGCAGAGACACAGGCAGAGGGAGAAGCAGGCTCCATGCTGGGAGCCCGATGTGGGACTCCAGGATCGCGCCCCGGGCCAAAGGCAAGCGCTAAACCGCTGAGCCACCCAGGGATCCCCTCCTGGTTTCTTTTGGCCTTAAAAAAATGTACATTGTGAATTTTGCATTTCAGTGAATGTTACATGAACAAAAATGCACCTCAGTGGCTTTTTCTTTTGAATTATTTATGATGTGACTTAACTGGTTTAATAAATAATTGATTCTGATTTTGGAATTAGTGACTTTTTTTTTCTAATCTTACTGTCTTTTTGCAGAAAAAACAAAGAGAGTTTGAAGAATACATCAGAGACAAATACATCACAGCCAAAGCTGACTTCAGGACGCTTTTGAAAGAGACCAAATTTATAACCTATAGGTGTGTGTAATGAAATGTTTCATATCAGCAGTCATTGTCTTTACTAGTCCTTACTCTGATGGCCAGAGCATTCTTTGCATTCACACACATGTTGACATTATTAATTTTTAGGAATAAGAAGAAGCAAACTTTTATCAAAGGCCAAATACAGCCCATGTCTACCTTACCTTTTTTTTTTTTTTTTTTTAAAGAAAGGGCCCAGATGTCAATTCTTATTTTGTGTTACCCACCCATCCAGTTTTTTAAACACACTTTTGTTTTTACTTCACTGCTTTTTTAGGAGTACCCATTACTATTTAAGAATTGTGTCTGTGAGGAGACTTTTAAAATAAGTCCTTCACTATTCATTATCTTTGCTTCCTGTGGAGACTATTCAGTGTTATGGAACAGTTTGAAAGCTTGAAATCATCTTATTTAAGCTCAGCAGAAACTATTACTTTTTTTTTTTTTTTCAGACGATAGCAATTTGCTGGATACTTTAAAAATTCTAAATGATAAAATCAGAGTTTTGAAACAAGATTTCTCCGTAACATGCCCAATAGTTCCACATTCCCAACAGTTGACCATCAGGAAAATGAGTTTACATTGCTTAGCGGTCAGTGTGCAGGAAACAGTTTTGTTTCATGCTCTAGTTTTTCTTCCTTTAAGGGAAAAATTGGAAACATCTTAATGAAGGGTATGTGCACGGGAGGATAGATAGTGCTGAGGGTGTGGTTTTTAGGTATTTTGTCATTGGATTTTTTGGTCAGGATCCTTAATGTTTTGCATCAGCTTGGGCTTTTAAATTAGATGTGAAGTAAGACTTCTTTCTACATTTTTATAGTTAATTTAGTGAAAGATGTGAAAGTGAAAGCTTGTGAGAGATGCTGGGATTGGCAGCCCCGCAGACTGAAGTCCTCTGTTCATCCACAGAACAGGTACAGCACGGGCAAGATTTACCCACCCACCCTCAGCCCTGATCTGGAGGGACCACCAGTAGGGGTGGGAGGGTAATTCAGCTTCTGAGGCCCTTTCACTCCTTGGAGTCTTTGCTGAGGCGACTTACAAAGGTGACCACTGCAGTGAAATTTTTCTTAAAAAAAAAATAAAATGGAAACACGATTAGGAACTAGATGGACATTTCCAGCTCATTTCTGAAAGACCTATGAACAGCAGTCAGTAATTCTTGGACTTCTTTTCTGATTTCAGATCCAAAAAGCTAATCCAGGAATCTGATCAGCACCTGAAAGATGTAGAAAAAATTTTGCAGAACGACAAACGGTATCTAGTACTAGACTGTGTGCCCGAGGAGAGGCGTAAACTGATTGTGGCATATGTGGATGACCTCGATCGCCGGGGTCCACCCCCACCTCCCACAGCATCAGAGCCCACGAGACGATCAACAAAATAATTCTCAGTACTCTTCCACAGGGGTATCTGAAGTCAGAACGCTTGCATGAGCCAATTTTCAGGTTTTTACATGTATGTGCATTAGTCAAACTATTGCAGAACCATCTGACGAACAGAAGGAGAAGCATTCGTGAACAGTTTCTGAACAGAGAACACTTTGGAAATAATTTATGCTTTTCTTTGTGTGGCATGACTGACATACATACTCAAATATAGGCTGTCTCTAGTAAATCTAAAATCTCGAAGCTAAAAATCATCCTTTTATAAGAGGTGTGGAAGTCAGTGACTTTTGGTGACGTTCTTTCTAGCAGTGTTAAACATGCAAGACGTAAGAGCATTTGTGGTTTGAACTTGCAAGATGCAAATACCACAGACTCCAAGAAAAACCTAAGTTGGGGTTTGTTTTGTTTTGATTTTGTTTTTTAAAGCGGGTAAAAGAGAAAACACTGAAAATTGAATTCTTATCTTCCAGAGGTTAAGATTATTATAATGGACATACTTTTACCTTTGTCTCTAAAGAACACTTTAGTTTTGTTTGTTCACTTAATGTGCTTTGATTATCCCCTCAGAATTATAGGCCAAGTCTTGTTGTTTAGCCTAAGAGAAGATTTATTTAGTCATTTCTTCTCAGGTATGGAACCACGGTCATAACTAACATGTTGGCCAGAATAGGACTGCTGGCTAAACACGTTTTATTTACCATTAAGTGATCTTTATCAATATTCTGGATTAGACAACAAATTACCTTTCTTGGGTGTTCCCTGTAAACTATACTCCTGTTTGAATGTTAAACTTTTGTTTCTAAAGTTTAATTTTAAGATGTTTGAATGTTCAGTTTATGTATTTGAACTACAATAAACCAACCCTTTTTATATATGTGGATTGTATATGATTATTGTTACAGAATTTATAAAAGAAACTTCTTTTAAATCTGTTCTTAGAAGCTATAGCAAATGTAATTTGGCACAAAGAAAGTTGACTTTACATCTTAAATATCACATAATTTTTAAAGGCTTGCATATAATAAATTATTTGCAATATAAAAGGGAAGGAATGTAAAAAACCATTTTGGTGCTTGGTCTCTTAGCAATATCTTACTGCTTCGTGGCAAGAAGATGCCGATCTCTTTATTTCTTTTCTTGTTTTTGTCTTTTATATTACCATATGGGTGATTGATGCCTTCTTGGCACCCTTTCAGTGTGTCCTGCACATCATACCCTGCACATCATACCCTGACACCCACCTTTGATCCCCCCACTTATTTCTAGCTTTATCTCCCCAGTTTAAAGACTTCTGTGTCTCATTCCTTCGCAGATTTCTCATTTCAGAGTACCACATAAATGCTTAAGAAAAATATGTTACATGTATAATTTCTTTTCCCTGTTATCTCAGACCGGTTGTGATCACAACAAAACAAAATGATTAAGTGCTGATAGATCTGTATTTGCATGTCATGTGCACACAGACACATCACAAGCAGATACAGACTCATCCACACTTATGTTACTTAGTACTTAGCTTAAGTATATTAAGTGCCACAGAAATTATGTATATAGGAGACTGGAATTACCTGACTAAGGTCTTAATCTGTACAACTGATCATTAAGATATCCACCCTCCCCTCCACCCCACCACCACTTTTTTTGCTTTTTTTTTGAAGGTCATTTTTATAATTCCATTGAGTGGCTTTTAAGTTCTGTGAGAAATGAAACTACCGTGTTTGCTTAAAGGAGCACAACTATTCTAGGAATATATAACTGACCTACAAAAGTGAACTTTCTAAAATGCTTTATTTTTCTGAATTCTACACAATGTTGTTTGCCCACTATCTGTTTCTCACAGTTGAAAAGTGTGGAAAAAAATGGTTTGGTGATAACTTATTCTGATTTCTACTTCTTCTGTAAAGTATTTGGGATTGATTGTTCATTTAAGGTGCAAATCAAACTTTACTATGCAAGATTCTTTAAAAGATCAAGTCAGGACTGTGTATTAGGTTCTTAATGAAAAGGTCACTGTAATTACACTGTCTCAGAATGTCCATCTTGATTTGGCACTTACCTGCAAACTCCTTAAAAATACTTGCTTCAGTTTACCCTGAGACCTCTATCAGTGTGAAGCTCTGACCTCCCCAGAAAGCCCCATTGTGCCAAATGATGATTTTGAAAGGAGCGTTCAAGACAAAGATAGCTTTTTAAGTCTCCAAAACTATCTGAAGTAAAGCAATTGTTTTTATTTGTTGATAAGTTAAAATGTCAAACACTGGAAGCTTATATCCAACATTTACTATATAGAATGAACAATCTTCAAATAGTTCATCACAGACAATTTTAAAGGTAATCCCTTTGTATAACTATTGTCTCACCAAACAGTATTTGGATATTTGGGTTAAATTGTACTTTGTGATCTTGTGAGCCTTAAAATAAAATTTGTAATGAACCAAGTAAAATGGAAACAGCCCTATCTTCTGTTAAAAAAAAAAAAAAAAAAAAGCAAACCACAGCCATTTGTAAAGACGAAAAGCAACCCCAAAAACCCACAGACATTTTTTAAAAAATGAAAGTTCCATCCACAGCATGTTTTTATCTTTTAAGTTCTCTGTGGCTCGACCTAAAGGCGGTTTTTTTCTGAGGGAACCCCATCCCTGCAGATACCCTAGAGTTCCATTACAAAGTAATCAAGAATCGTGGATAAGTGTCCTTATATTTAATAGGGAAAGAAATGTATCATAATCATGTTTTGTTGGGTATGCTTTATCTTGCCATAAAGTGAATAGTTACTGGCTTTTACTAGAATTATGCTGGTAATAAATATGTTTGGGGACACAAAATTTAATAGCACTGCTTTTCTCTCTGCATCACCCCTTGTGCTGTTTGTTTTCTGTTCTTAACCAAGTTCTGTCTTGTATCCATGGAGTTTTTCTTTTCCTAATTTTGTTTTCTTTTTTACACTTTCCCTGTTACTCCTGATCATCTTTATAACTAAGACCCTGAGAAATTTTAAGCCTCGGGCAGGATTCAACTTACAGTGTTCAGGAGACAGTACTACTTGACAAGAAGGATGACCATTCCTTCTTCGTACTTGAGGGTTGTATTCAGCAATTACTACCTTGTATCATTAACCATAGCTTCTGCTTCTCTTGACCGAAAGGAGGTATTGGGAGGAACAGGTAATTGGGAGGAGAAGGAAGGGCAGTTTTAACAGTTCTTTCTGCATATCAGAATTTAGAATGTCCTGCTGAGCTGCTAAAGTCCTCAGACTCGAAACCCAAGACTCACAGAGGTGGCTTTGCAAAGTGAAGCAGGTTTTGGGATAAGGCAAAGTGCATTTACTTAAACTGGGCCAAAATAAGCCATGGTTTGAAAGCCCACAATAAGGCAGTGGTCCTTACTCTAACCTTCAGTCATGGAAATTCTGCATGGATTAAGCAAATGAAGAGCACTCCTTAGCACTCATTAATGTGTTTAAAATCTCTTCCGTGGAAGTAGATTTTGAGCTTTGGTTATGTGAAATAAAGTCTGATAAGGGATGCTTAAGGCTAGCAGGATCTGGAGTAAAAGTAAAGGAGTTCAGCTTTTGGCAAAGATGGGCTCTGCTTGAGCCAGTACAAGGTGGTCCTAAGGAGTACCCAGTAAAACCATGATTTTGAACAAGGGACAAAATACTGGAATGTCTAGTCGAGTGTGCCAGAAGCATCTTCACACAACACTTAGATTAATTCTTTGGACTGCCAGTATATAATTCTGAAGTAGAGTCCTTACCCTTACTGTGGTGTTCTTACCAAATCGCACATTTTGAAAATGCATACTGTGAAGCGCTTTTGTAATTCCTAATGTTAGTAATTTTACCCTTAACGTGATAAAGGCTGTAGTATCGACAAGCAGCACTACAAGTAAATTAAATGCAATCATCACAATTTGTTTTGCTTTGAGACTTAACCTATTTATCACAATCTCCTGTCTCCTGATCTTCACGTTCCCAGGGGATAGGGTCATTGTCTTGTACACAAGGGACTGTGTCCCTCTCGTGCCAGAACTGCTCTACATCAGGGAGGATGGGAACCTGTGCCTTCTCAGTTTTCTCTGTGCTGGAGGAGGGAGAGCCAGTTTTCTCTTTCTCTGGTATAGATGTTGGGGACTCAGGAGACGGAGCATTGTCAGGAGGGACCTCCGAGTTACCCGCTGGTGTTTTCTGAGATTCTGAGGCAGTTGGTTGCTTTCTGGTTATCATCCATCTCCATAAGCTTTTCAAATCTTCCTTGAACTCCTCTGACATCACTAGAAAAATCAGAGGATTTGCCGAAGAGATGGAAAACAGGAGGACTTGAGACAGGGCTATAAAGCCTTGTGGTGGGGCCGGGCCTCCAGCTTTCACATGCCATATCCACAGCCAGGCCACCCACTCCGGGAGCCACAGAACAGCGGAGGTGACAGCGATGCTCAGCAACATCACCGTGAGTTGCTTTGAGCGCAGCTGGTTTCTAAGATTCTGAGTCTTAGTTCCCCGCTTTTTACACTGGCCATAAGCTCTCCAGAAATAAAAACTGGCAAAGAGTGACGGGAAGCAAAATGCCAGGAGAGGGTAGAGCTTACCAAACGTTGCCATGAACTCTTCGGCCACGGGGGGTACATCCATGAGGCACACTTCCACCCCTGCGTGAAGCCGGATGGTGCTGAAGAACCATTCTGGCAGCGGCAGCAGGCTAGCCACAGCCCAGATGGCCACCAGCACTGACCAGATGGTGCAGCTGTGGATACTCACTTGCTTGGTGGGATCACTCACATACATGAAGCATACCTTGGCCACTGCAACAATCGTCAGGCTCTTGGCTGCCATGCACGTGTGGATGAACCAGTCAGAGGACTTGCACACAAACCAGCCGAGATCCCAAACACCTTTGAAGTATGCTGTAGCTCGGACGGGTGCAGAAAACAGCAGGAGAGAGAGATCGGCCAGGCTGAGATTCAGAATCAGGGAGTGGATCATGGACGGCTTTCCTTTCCAAGCGCTATGAAGGAGGACACCAATCACGCAAAGGTTCCCCATGAAGCCCACCAGGCAGACGGCGACTAAGAGAGCCGGCACGATGGTCCTCCAGTCCTTGGAGTCAGAGGGCACGTACCCTCCGACAAAGTGGAGGTGAGCAGACACGTTCATGGTGCTGGAGTTGGAGGCGGCGAGGGCAGCTGCCAGCATCACCTCTCCTGCGCAGCTCGTCCTTACAGGAGGTAGCTGCTTCTTGCCTTCCTGCCCCGGCTCTTAAGCTCTTAAGCTCTTAAGCGTAGGAAATAAATAAGCTGTCATCGGTGTCAAATGACACCCCTGAACCCTCCCCTCGCTTGTTTCTTGAGAGCCAAATGTGGAAGAAGGGTGACCGCTCACCTCTGCGCTGTCGCATGCGGTGCACCTTCCACTCCACCGAATGGCAGGCAGCAGGGGCGCTTGGGTGCTGCTCATTAGCAAGCCTTGTGTCAAATCGGCAGCCCCGTGGAGTTAAAACCCCATGTACTCATAAATGATAAATGAGGACGACATACATGTAAGTGGGATATGTTCCTGGGGGGTCACGAGCCAGTCAGGCAATTATTTCCAACCAGCTGTTTCTAAAATCTTGACCGTGGACTGTAATTCAGGAAATGCTGCCTCTGAGCAAGTGACACTTGGCGCCGCAGCCTGCACCAGATTCACCCACGTGCTTGATCCAGGTGGCTCAGGGGTAGGGCCAAGAATAGGCATTTCTGACAAGCTCCCAGTGGATGTGGATGTTGCGGGGGGACCACAGTGTTTAAAGCGTGACCCCGTGAAGCTTCTTCCCCTGCAGAGAGGAGCTGCCGCCTTGACCCAGTTTATATCACTGGCAGCGGCCGCCGCCTGGGATC